ACCCTTGGATGACGTAACGCCTAGATTTGCATATCACAAACCGTTTGATTACTTTTGATTGGATAATGCTAATTAGGCTTGGTTTTCACACATTCCTTGCAAATACGGATCACATTGATTCGATATTTCATTGAATATCATCATTTTTGGGTATATAAAGATAATTTTGGACATGAGTGTAGAAAACGCAGTTCATAATCTTAATACCAAGATTCAAGACGCCATTAAAAACGCTACCTTCACCAGTAAGAGACCATAGCAAAAACCTTCCGGAGCACATTTTAAATCTAATAAAGCAGCGAAATAACAGAAGAAAAATTTGGCAAATGACAAGAAACCCAATAGATAAAACACACTTTAATTATCTTTCAAGAAAGATTAAACAAGAAATTATTAACCATAGATCCAGAAGCTGGGATACCCTCCTTGAAAACATGGATTTAGAACCAAATGTAGTTTGGAAAATCGCAAGATCGCTCCGAAATACCCGAGCGCAACATCTGCATCCGATCGACTACATGGGTCACACATTCTACTCAGAATCCGACATAGCAGAAGTTCTAGCAAGCAACTTAAGTAAAGTTTTCAATAAACACAAAGAAGAAAATTCCGAACACGAGGAAGAAGTTAAGCAAGAAATAGTTAATATAAAATCCCGGCATAATTCTAACTTCATTAAATTCACTTCTTCCAAACGAAGTTCAAAGTTCAAAGCATTATTAAAAAACTTCAAAAAAACAGAAGGCAAGAGGGTACGACGAACATAAACAATGAGGCTCTGCAAGCACTTCCAAGAAACTGCATTGTGTTACCTTTTGTGCGGTAGCATCTTTAACGCATGCATTCGAGTCACACGATTTCCTCAAACACACAGTTTTCATTAAAGAATCATAAGCCAACAAATTTTTAACTACGAAATCTTTATTTAATAAAATAGGATGAATTCTGCTTAAGCATAACAATAAAATAATAATCTTGACGGACATTAAAACACTGAAGTATTGAAAAGAAGATAACTTACATAGAATCATTCATCAATCCTAAATATCAGGCTTACCTATTTTGGGCAATAAGAAAAAAGAAAACAGGAACATACTTCGAAACACCGTAGCATCTGAAAGAGAAGAAAGTACTACTGGATTAGACCTTTGGCCAGGTACAAGTAGCTAAGGTGAAATCAAATATACTGCATTGCACACGAACTTTACTTTCTCTCGCCAATAATACCTTGGCGCACGTTCGTTCGTATGCCTTTCGAGTTTCATTATGCAAAAATACCTAAATTTATGCTAACATTGCCCTGTTGCTACTACAAAGTACACTGTAAAATAAATTCTTAGATTGGAAGCAGGTCCCAAAGAACCGGAAATTGTTTTTTGACTACACCGGCATTTTCTTTTTTATTTAATTTGACAAAATGATACGAGGTTCTTCTGTTTGGTAGGCTTCGCATTTTGTTCTGCAACCTTGAAAAATATATTAGATCGAAAAAATTATGTTTATAAATAGACACTAATTCTAAAGAAGATTAAAAAAGAAATTCATAGCTCTTGATCACAAGACGTTAGTAAAATAAGTATATAAATAAAAACATAATTTATTGTTTTACGTAAATACTACAGTAAAAAGTAATACTTAATACACATAGCTATACTATAACATATTACTTAATACATATATAATACTTAATACACATGGCTTTTCTATAGTATTCAAAGAATCGAAATGAAACTCAAAGAAACAGCTCCGAGGAAACGAAAAGAGCAAATAATCAAGACTCCGCAGGAGCCAGATTTGCGGCTAGAGCAGGTGGGATAAAACGAGAGACTAATGAAGACTCAGGAAGAATCAGATCCGAGGTTACAGCAAATGCGGTGAAAGAGCGAATATTCACGACTCCAAACCACCCAGATCTGCGACCGCCGGAGCGCTGACGGCTGGGAGTCTGAGCAATTAGTTTCTATAATCTGCGTACTTTAAACAGATCCTCGCAGAGCCAGATGGAAAAAAAATTCCATCCATTTGCAAGCAGGGGTGGTCAGTTTCGCTGAGATGCGTCGGTTCATTTAAAGTTTTGTATTTAAATACTAGATGGAACACAAACAAACCAATAATACACATATATACATGTATAACACACAAACACACATAAAAAATAGGTCAGAGACTTTTCAATAAATAATAAAGCAAAGATGCCAGTGTTTACATTAACAGGCATCAAATTTTTGCACACTTCACAACAAAAGCTCTCAGTGAATTGTTAAAGAACTGCTACTTCGTTTTCGCTAGACCGCTGATCATTCGCTCAGTAAAGTGAATCGGTTCCGAAGCGGATCGTCAATTTCTAGAGAAAACTGCTCATATCCTTGTTTACATATGGGAAGTACGTTGAAAATTCCCAAGCAACTAACCCATTTTCCAGGATTTAAACCCATGCTGAATAACCACTGTTCACTGATTTTACCGCTCGTCCACTGGTCGGCTATCATTGCTTGCCACTGCGGTTTTATATACATTTGTCAAATGACATGTGTTTTAAAATTTCGCGTCAAGGAACATGAATCTCATGAATATCGAAACAAGGCATGTGAAGAGGGATTAAGTAAAACAATTTTTACTTGCAATTCACAAATTAAAATTTACCTCAAAGCAGTTCAGTTTTTTTATTCTATTCGCAATTATAGCGAAATGTTTGGCCTCTAGTAGGAAAGTGTCTAAAACATAAATAGCACTGATATTAGCAGTGCAGTTGGCTTACTGTTTTTGAAGATAATCTGTAAAGTATCGATGAAAATGCTGACAACCTGTCCTCGCAGCCTGTAGAATTGACAACATGTGAAAAGGGGAATTTATCAGAAATAGCGAATAACAGAAAAGATAATACTAATTGTTCTGTGCCTCAGTGTATTTCAAAGGAAATGTAAAATGCGGAACTAAGTTTCCACAAATTCCCGAATTTAAAGAGTAGATTAAAATTATCTAGGTGGGATGATAATAGTAAATCACCGGGGTAATTGGATTCGAAAATCCAACCCCGATGACATGTCCAAGGGTGCTAGTAATAAGTGGTCTTCCTTTGTATCCAACACTCTTATTAGCCGAAGAGAGGAATGGTCGGTTTTGTCCATCGGTTTTATCAAAAATGTATGCCCATTCTAAGCAATCTTTCTAGTGATTATAATTTGTTGCTCAGGGTGGCGTCTGAATATAAATTTGAAATTGTGGAAAGGAATTGCAGAATAGAATTATTGGGAAAATATTTTAACTCAATCGTATCGTAAAATCCTTATTAATAACTTTAAATATACAGCTTTGCATAGAATTATTGATTTCATTTAGACTAGAAAGTTTAAATTAGTGAATGTATGCATTCCAATATTTTACATGCTATGCGATACTTAACAACTTTATATACCAAAACTATTGCCCAAATTTCGAAAACCTATAATTCACGCTTACGTTCATTAATATTGCTAAGAATTTTGTGTATGTGTAAAAAAAATTTAGTGAAATTGTAATATTTATTTGTATAACGTAACATAAAATTTTCGAAAGAAAAGGAACTCTGCCGGAAAAGTAAGTTACAGGGCAAATCTGTTTAACATTGCGGTAAATATCTGTCTCACTAAATTGGCGAGATATCGTCAAGCTGGCGATAATTTTGACCACTAAATTTTGTCCCAAAATGTGGTGAGAAATCGCCAAAAATCGTAAAACTTGGATACCATTTGAAGAAATTTTAATCCGTTCCCTTTAATACTCTAATAGTTATTGTAACTGAATAACTGTAGTTGATTTTAAATGCAACTGTAGCCATAGCCGATCTTCACATGCCTTTGAGTAAGGTACTAGAGATTTCTCGGTGGCCGGAAGAAACCTATATAAGACGGGAGAACACCGTTTCTCAGTTGTTAGTTCAAAGCTGATTTCGGAGTATTGAGATATCCGTGAGAGCTTCTTCTTTTAAATGCCTTTGGCATTGAGTTGCGTTTAACGTTCTTAGTGGTCTGAAGTGTAACTACTGATTATGCTCTCTGATTCTGAGAAGAGCTGTGCGAGTGCTTTTGTGGAAAGTTCCAAAACTGTAAAATGTTTCTTTTCAGAAAATACATTTTATCCAGCTATCATCGGTTCTGTGTGCATTCAATCCATTATGAAATCAAAATGTTGTTGTATTTATTTTATTGTAGTCAATTTATTGTGCTTTTATGTTCTAAGTTTATTGAAACCTGAAGTCTTTTTTACATTACTTTTTTACAAGTACAGAGCTTTACGAAGAGTCAACGTAGTACAAACAACTTGTAGTAACGGGAGTTGTTTGTAGTTTAACATATTTTTATAATCAGATTAGTTGCGTGAGCGCCTTCTGTAAGGAGAAAGAGATGCTACATAATTTTTATTATTAATTATTGCTTTTGTTATAACAGAAACTAGATCACATACTGGTCTCCTAATATTGTCAACAAACAGAACGTTCTCTCTAAAATCCCAGAATACTCTTTGCGATGGTGAAAGTTCGGATAGTGCTAACATCTGTTGGGGGAAAAGGGAACGATTCTCCCCAAATTCTCAGTTCAGGTTTACTCCATTTCAGACAAATTTGAATCGCCAATTGTTAATCTCTAAATGAGTTACTTGCTTTGACTCTTTAATATATTTTAATTTCTGTCTTCATTACAGAGTGCATCACTGTTCTCTACTAAGAAATTCTCCAAAATTTGTTAATATCTCTTTCTATTTGTAGTTCTTTGAAAGTGCTGATAGCACAGTTACTGGTAGCTCAGTTGCTGATAGCACTTCTACTGAAATAAAATCGAAGTTAATTAACTTTGTTTTCACTCCAATGTATCCTGATATTCACAATACGGATATACGATTTGTCAGTCTAATTAACTTTTTCCTCAAACTTTCAGTCAGGTAAGTTTTTTTACTGTAAAAAAGAGATGTAAACTATAATTTTTACAGAGAGATAAGTTGGAGATGAATCAGGACAAAAACAACTCAAAGATGACTGGCGCCGGAACTTTAATATCCAAAATGGCCGGTGACAATGTTGTTACGGTTGATGTGACTGAACTTCCATTGCCTAAATTAACTCAAATTAAACAAGAATTGGACAGTGTAAGCATTTTAAAATTATTCACACACTCCTGTAATTATCTGATGTTTCATTTTCGTAGACTAGGAAATTAAACGCCGTATTTAATATTAATCCTGCCATGTGGTTAGTTACGTTCCCGTACCTGCCAACCCGATCTTTCATCACCTCTTTCAATCTCCAGTTTTTAATTTTTAGCCTTTACGTAGAAGAATACCTCATAACTGTAAATGAAATTTATTGAGTTAACGAAACGTAAATTGCGCAATTTTACCCACCCCCTAGCGATTTTCAGCGTAATTTTCCTCTCTAAATTTTATTTGATCTGAATTGTAATCTTCTGTAGACTGTCTTAGTCTTCTGCAAACATTTATCCAGTATTATAAAATTTCACTAAGCGTTTAACGCTACTAATTGTTTCAAATTTTGTTTTACATCAAAAAGTGGACACATAACTACGTTTATCCACACAATATACATTACTGATTTTATTTTCATTGCTTGCAAAATTACTTTGCTAAATAAAAGCTCGGCTAAATTGGAGATTACACACTGGAAATTTTTTTCGTGTAAAAGTGTCAAAAAATTGCAACTGTATCTTATTAATATTAAAAGGTACTCTTCTGTTATCGGGACCGTATTCAGGAAATGTATGTATGCAAGTCATATGTACATATATTCTTGCATACATAAATACGTACATCCATCCATACATACATTTCTCAAACTAGTCCCGGTAACAGTAGAGTACTAAATGTTATATCATAATCACTATAAATATTTGAGTAACCTGAATCATGTATTACAAAAGTGAATTTAAGTTACTGTGGATTTATTTTGAAATGGCATCACGATGTAGTGGCAAAACTTGAAAACTTGCCAGTTTTTGTGTGAAAAACCTTCCAGTTTTTCATATTTTAAGATTGACAGCTATTCTTTCTGAGTAATCAGTTTTGTTTCTTAGCTTTTCTGTTTCACAGTCTGATATGAAATTTTTTTATGAATGAGCTGCATTTAAAATTTACTCAGATAAATTATTTCTATAAGAAATTTTTTTTTGGATATTTTTAATATATTAGTCAAGAATCTCTTTTTAAACTAAAAGATCAGTTATGCATGTTGAAATTGATTTTCTAAGTATTTACCTGTTGGGCTATATGAATTCAGTTTTTGCCATTATCTTATGTCTGTATTTTGTTAATTTTTTTTTCTTTGTGCAAAACATACTTGCAGAAGTAAGCAGCATCAGTTTGCAAAATTCCTATGGTATTATGTGCGTGGATTATTGTATTTATTTAATAAATAAGATCTGCTGTCTATTTTCGGATACATTTTATGAAATAAAAATGTTTGTGAGTATTTGATGCTGATTGAATGAATATTTGTGTATATTTGATGAAGATTATGCTGCTGATTAGAATTCATTTACTTCTAATGAGGGTAAAAAGCAAATTGGCTAACTAAACACAGTAGTTTAGAACGATATAGGGGGTGGAAATAGATGTACCTGTCCTGCTGCAGGAGTAAGATTGGCTGCCACAAAAACTCCTCGACTGCTTCCTGTCCTCATGCTGGACATCCTGTCTGGCTATGAGAGGGAACCATACTCCTTATTGGAGCCATTTTCAGTTTGATATTACAATGTGGATTTTTGGACATTCCTGCAAAATGAGCATTACTGATAAGCATGCATACATAAAATGACTTTTGAATGCTATATCTCTTTCTATGTTATAAATGTATATTCATACCAAATTGCCTTAAAATCTGTCCATTAGGTTTTCAGAATTTCGACATAATGTGCAATTTTTTTTTTTAAATTTTGCACAAGAGTATAGATGTAGTTATTATAAATAGAAGTAATTAGCAGTTTGTGTATATGATAATTACTATGTAGTTTATTTAATATGATTATCATTATTTGGTGTAGTTTGGTTCCCCCCCCCCCCCAAAAAAAAGGCAGCTAAAATTGTTAAAGAGAAAGTTGTAACATAGGAATTCTTTGTTCTGCTTATTTATTATGATGTCATTTTATATAAGTGTTTATTGTTCTGCTTTCTGCCTGTTTGTAATGATATTAAATAGCAGTTTACTACATTTAGCTCTTAGAGGCACAACTATGACTGGTGTCACATTAACTGATAAATACCTCTATAAGTATTTCTTAAATAATAAATATATTAAGTTTTATTTATTTTATTTTTATTTTTTCCCCAGCAAGTTGAAGTATTTAGTGCATCTCTTCAACAACTTAAAATTGCTCAGAAAAAATATGGAGATTCAAAAGAGTGTGTGGAAAAAATGCAAGAAATGAAAGAAGGAAAGCCTTTATTAGTTCCATTAACAGATTCTGTATCCTTAAGTTTGTTGCTTATTATACAGTAGTATCTGTGTGTCATATAATTAACCCTTTTTAGTTATAAGATAAATTTATTATGTGAATGAAAAATTACTTCATGGAAAGTTTAACATTAAAAAAAAAAAAAAAAAAAAAAAAATTATTCAATTTTATTTACTTTTATTTATTCAATTTTTTAACATTCATTCATCAGAAAAAGTAAATGATTTTAAATATTTACTCCTGAAATGTGTTTATCTTATGTAAAAAAGATTCACGATATTTCTGTTTTGTTAACATTTTGTGTGACCAATTTTGAAGCAGGATTGATTAAAGAAATTTAAAAAAATTAAATATTATCTTGCCTTTGAAGTATTTTTAATAGATAAAGCAGTTATATAAAAATAATTTTGTAGTTTTGCATATTAATTTATTCTGCAGTTTTTAGTCAGAAATTATTTAGAATTAACAAGAAGCTAATTACGTCACAAGACTTTCTATTTCACTTGATTTCTTCAAATCAGTCCTAAAAAATGTCCATGGAATTTTTTTTTTTTTTTTTTTTTTTTTTTTTTTAAATAGATTGATAATTATTTGCTAGGGAAAGAGATAGTTAAATTAAGAAATAAAAGACTGATAGAATGTAATCAAGAATTTTAGTACATTTTGATTACTATTATCTTCTTGCATATTCCCTCTTCCAAGCTTTTAAGCACCAGATTTTGAAAGTTTTAAAAATATACCTGTACTTTTCCCCTTCATTGATGTGTTCAGAGAATGAGCTGCCATAAATTTTAAGATGGATTTGTCCACATAGTTATTATTATTATTATTATTATTATCCTTACAAACAAAGATAAAGCCTTGCAAACTGTTTGCAAAGGTCACGCCCAACATTTCCCTTCTAACTGTTGAACTGTATGTCAGCCTAATACAAGAACTGACCAATCGCTGCGAGTCGTACACGCTGAAATTTGGTGTACGATTTTGCTGAGACAGGTGCACATTCACCTTCTCTAATTATTTATGGATAATTTGAGGCCTAAGGAATAGTAGAGGCAACAGTAAAAATGAATGAGATTCAGGTTACAGGGTAAGAGATATAAAGTGATCTTATAGGTATTATAATGTTGATATAACTATATATTTTTTTTGGAATGTAGGTTTCTTTTAAAGAAATAATATTGTGATAGTTTCTGGTAGTTTACCCATGACTACTTTTCACATGTTATATTTTTAATATAACCACATCCTTTATTCATGTAGTTTTTTCCTCTCAACTTTTGGACATTAAAATTAGCAAAAAAAAGGGAGGGTTAGGGAATACATGAGGAAATGCTGTATATTAAGCTGAAGAATAATGTTTACTTACATATTAGTGCAATCAACTCTAGTGCAGTTTGGTAATCTTTTACAGAAGAAAAGAACAAGAACTTTAATTGAAAAAAGTATTTATTACTTACATAAGTATTATATACATATTTTACCTTCTAATAAAGTATTTACCTAATAAATCGATTAATGAATCTTTGGCAAATGATTTTAGTTTCGCTTTTGTTCTGATTTGAAATTTCGTGGTAAATGTTTCAATAATAAATTAAAACCAGTTTTTCTCTTTAGTGATTGAATGGCAAAATACTGTATTCCTGCAAAAGTTTTATTTTCTTCCATTGCTGGTAGAAACCATAAGCACATATTTTAAAATCACTTAAAATTAAAAAAGTTTACAATTAAAAAGTTTAAAACAGTTGTGCCAATTGTTCCTGCAGAATTTTGAGCCGCACTGCTGTCTGCAACTCTTATAGTCATGCATTCATCAACTTGTTCTCTTCTAAAATAACCACTGCTGCAAAAATATTCCACTCACTTTGTGGAAAGGCTTTTGTCGATAGCTACTACTTTATCAGGCCGTTTGATTTAACAGGAAGCTTTGTTTAGAATGCTACGATTACAAACTTTCCCCAGATGATTCTTTCAGTTTGTTTCATTTTACTCAAGCATTGAACAAATGTTAATTTTTCTTGACCAACTGTAAATGAACTGTAGTACAGTCACAAATGCAGTTTTGGCTCTTGAACTTTTTTTTTTTTTCAAGGGAAAAAAAAAATGCTCTGATAATGGTTACACTTGTTCATTAAAACTTAAAGAGGCTTATTGAGAATCAGTTGGGATGATATCAAATGAAAGCATGCATGTGTTGTCATGCTTATCTGTAATTGGCATGGAATTCTACTAATTAGCGAGAGTTTCATTATTGACTGGATAATATGTTGGTACAAAAATTGTTATACTTTTGTAGTAATTAAAAATTTACAATTATAGATGTAGAAATCATTTTTATAAAGTAATCTGATAAGCATATGCCTTTTCATTGTTTTATACCCTTTACTTTTAATCAGATGTATGTCCCTGGTAAATTAGATGACACTGCTAAAGTTCTTATTGATATTGGAACTGGATATTATGTAGAAAAGGTAAAGTGTTTCAGTTATGAAGTGATGTAAATATTGCACATAAAGTCTTTGAATATACTTAATTATAATATTTTATTTCAGCTAATTTCATTCAAATTGCAATTTATTTCTTGCAAATAATTCTATTTAATATAATACTTTATATTTAAGGGTTTGGTAAAATATTGCCAAATTGGGCAGCATTTTGAAAAGATCTGAAATCTGTTATTTTTGTTTACTACTTGCCATCTTTGTTACTGTATGAGCTACATTAATGTTTTTTTTTTATTATTATTATTTTATTTATTATTTTTAAAGTATATACAGTACAAAGTCCATAATCGAGACGTCCGTTATCCGGAATGATCTATAATCCGGACCTCAAAGCCACAAACTTTTTCTTTTGTATGCTTTATGCATGCGCGTTTAGCACAAAAAATGAAGCAACTTAAACAACTTGTATTGAAAGAAATGTTTAATAAAGTAAACAAATAAATATTAAGGGTTTTTTTTTTTTTTTTTTTTTTTTTTTTTTGTGTGTGTGTGTGTGTGTGTGTGTAAATTTTGATACCCTGTAGATCATAATTTCTCTTCATGCACATAATGCGTTTATGCATGTGCATTTAGCACAAAAAATGAAGCAAACAACTTACATTGAAAGAAATGTTTAATAAAGTAAACAAATAAATATTAAGTATAATTTCTGCATGCCATCTTACCAGATTTAAATTGATGATCTATAATTATCTTGAATATCTGCCTTTTGATAATCCTTATTTCTAAAGCACCATGAAATGAATAAAATTAAGTTTTGCTTTTGATTTTAATAATCTTTGAGAGAAGTGATAACTAAAAAGCCAGCAGTATTAACTTTCTTCATTTTAGAATTTGAGTAAATTTTCTAAAACTTAACAGAGTATGAAATTAGCACGAAAAGAACATATTTTTTATCATAACTTGAGACTTACATGTTGTTTTGTGAATAGTTTGGTGATAAGTTTGTACCTTTTCTTGTTAATTAAAACAACTGATGGGATAACACTCTTTTATTTTATACTCTTTAGAGGCTGAAGAGCCCCATTTTAGGGATAAGGAATTAAACTCTAGCCTGAAGCATTAGCGCAGAATCCATTGTGTTTTTTTTTTTTTTTTTTTTTTTTCCCATATGCCCTGGGTTTTACCTTAGAATATAAACTACAGTCTTAAAATGCAGTCTTCAGATATCCCTTGCTTCTTAAGTTAATTCATGAATCATCCGGTGTTGAACATTTTCCAACAATATTCCAACAGCATGTAGTTCCTCTTTATTGACATTATAGTAACCTGTTTAAGGCATATCAGCCACACTTTGGCTTCCCTCAATGAAAGCTTTAACTCATTGTACAACTGCTTTTTAAAGGTGATGATAACAGATCGTAATGACATTGTGCTGTATGGCCTCAAACAAATTCATTCTTAATGCATTCTATTTCTAGAACATTGGGCTTTAGATTTCAATTGTATATCAGAATCTGTTTTTGGAAGAGTAGATGTACATAGTGTTGGAAAAGAGAGTTCATTTACTTGAATTGAGGTTGGTTATGTATCAAATTAATGTGCCTTAAGAGGTTATCACACATGGCTACAGTCCCTGCTAGACGGGACTTTTCTGAGAAACGAGATTCTGATAGCACTGTTTTAAACAGGAGGATTCCTAGAAAAAAGAGCCCCGCCTGAAGCGAAGTCCCGCCTAGCTTTGGAAGCAATGTTGCGGCTATGCAGGTTCAAACCTCACCGAAGGTGTCTAGAGTCCTGGATAGAGACAAACCAATCAGACGAAAATTCTGCTTCTGAAGGATCACGTGATCCTGATTTGAGCAATAATCAATTACTGTTTGGCATTCAAGGCTTTGCAGTAAGCAAGAATGGTAACCTAGCTACGTGTCTTTCCTGGAATTGTGTGGGTTCTGAGAATCGTCCCTTTTGACGTCAAATCACATTATGTTTCGGCTCCTGCGTAGCCGAAACATAATGTGATTGGGACCTTATAGGCAACATGGACGGTTTCATTTCATAGTATATATGTAGCAATGTTACCAATATTAAAGTTTCAATCCTTATGCCTGTATGAAGTGAGAAAAAGTTTTATTTGATTACTATCTGCTGAGAGGTCGTGCTGCTAGTGTTATGTGTTGTGCATTTGTAAGCTACAAAATTTTGTCTGAAACAATTTCAAGTGCTGTGATATAAAATGTGGAGTTCAGATTAAAATGATGCTTGACAGTGCTAAAGATTTAATTTTGAGAATGGTTATGTGAATAGCACATAATCTGTGTTTCTTTTCATATCGGTAAATTTTGTTAGTGTATGGATTGACAGTATGAGTGTCATCTTAATTTTCCTGTATAAATTAATTTGCTTGTCATGATAGATTTTTTTTCACAGTGTAAAAGAAGTGGGATGAAACAGTGGCACTAGAAGTTGATGAATTGCTGTTAATTATGTAGTATCTTTATTTTTCAAATTATAACAATGTCTTACTAAATATGCTGAAATATTTTCATATTTCTTAATGGCAATTAGATTATTGGTAATAAAATACCTTCCATTTAAACAAGTTCCATTGTTGTTTTTATATAGTCATATTACTTAGGTTCTTTTGGGCTTACTTAAAGGGAAAAAAGAAGTCCTGATTACAATCATAAGAAAGTGGTCATAAATTGGCTAAAATTTATATAAAAGTGTATTTTTTTTTTTTTTTTTTTTTTCCTTTTTTGCAGGAACTTCCAGATGCTATAGATTATTTCAAAAGGAAAGTTAAATTTGTCACAACACAAATTGAAAAAGTGCAGCAAATCATGAAAGAAAAGCTCATTGCTAGAGAAGGTAATAATTCATTTTAAATAAAAAGCTAAGTCAGAAATAAATATTCATACTTATGTATTATTTTGTTGACTATGAAATTGTTGCCAAGCAGCACCGGTTATAAATAACTGCGACATAGCAACATACTTATGACATTTGCACTTTCGGGTTATATAACTCCAATTGATTCTCGATAAGCCATGATCAAGAGAATTAACATTAGTTAACTGGAGGGGGGAGGGAAAAAAGCTGAGTATGGTCGACAATATGTTATGGATTGGAACCTACAGGAACTTTGTACTCATATTCATCTAAACATTTTCCAGTAATATTGGGGGGGTACTTAATACCATGTGCAATTCGCTGATGTTTTAACTTGAAAAAACATCAGCGAATCGCACAATCTAGGCATCGCACACAAATCAACAAAATAAACTAAAATAAAGTTAAAAGTATATTTATGGGTACCCCTTGGCGATTTTCAGTGGTATATGGATACTGAGTTTGTGCAGTTCTTTGACTTGTTATTTTGGCATTGTGTAGCAGCGATTTTAGCACCAAAAATTGCTGCTACGCAAAGACAAAATAACAAGTCAAAGAATTGCACAAATTCGGTATTCATGTACACATTGACATATTTTTATTTTCACTTTAAAAAAAATCACGTAATTGAACCAACTAGGCATTGTGCACTCCCTTGACTTTTCCCACACACTCATCGACCTATTTTCACTTTTAAAAAAAATCAGAGAATTGACAAACTTGGCATTGCACACTCCCTTGACTTCGTCGTGCACACTTAAATATGTTTTCATCTAAAAAGTCGAAAGATCACCCAACTCTACAATAGAAGCAAATAAAAAATACATCATCTGAATAAACTACATTTTAAACCAAACAATCAATTAACATAAAAAAGGAAAAACCTCTCATGCACCTAAGCACTACACAAAGCAAATATCCACTTACCTTATTTAGAAATTTCTTCGTCTTCAGTCTGATGCATAAAATTTCTTAACAGTATCCAAAAACTTTCTAAAAGTATCTGAACTCGAATCCGTATTTGGGCGTCGCCACATAAATTCACAAAAATAAGAGTAAAAAATATTCTCCGTAGTTCCGGACTGTCTGGAAAATGGCTACTAAGTAAACCTTCATTTACACACCAGTCAATTAATGCTCTTTTCTACTTTCATTCCAAATCTTCATATTAACATAAACTTCAGATTAATCTTACTACATTCAGCCATTCTACCGTCTAAACAACAAAACAAGCAATGTACTTCCTAACCAACACACAGTACAAGCCTTTACATAACATCCCATAATTCGGAATTTACCAGAATCATGCAACAAATTACGTCATAATAGGGTTTCTGTAACATTCAACTATACTCAGGTTACCATAAATGAAACAACAACTTGTCGATAAATGAAACAACAACTTCACGATAATACAAGGGAACCAAAATAAATTACAAACGATTCAAGAAACAACAATAACAAAAATTCATAGCAAAAAAACAATGAACATAACATTCTACAACATAAGAACAACAATAAAATAAAATGCACTTACCATTTTGAATGCTTCTTCAAACAGCAGAAATATCAATTTCAAACATCAGCAAAACTCATCAATTTCCACCACTTTATCTTTCCACCTTATCTTCTGAGACACAGAGCATACAAAGTCTAGCATACATTCGTGAATAAAATCTGCATAACCCGGTGAACAAAAAACTCATTAACAACTCCAACACCGTACCTTTTAATACTAAATTTACCTTGTGCACAATCCAAAATATGAGACTGAAATTTTGCCACCGTGTCTTTTACTGCAACATAAGCCATTTCAAAATGCCCACCAAACCAACCAACCACTCCAGCAAAATAAAGTTTCAACATGAAAAGGGTTACAATACAAACAACATCGTGCAAAAAAACCATGGCAGAACACACAATCATGCCAAAAGCCAGCGCAGAACACATATCGCCACATTTGACAACTTCATACATCTGAGGGCGTATATGAGAGTAGTACCGTTTGCTAATTTAGAAGTCTTAATCTGACATTTCTAAACATGTTTTTATTGTTTTTATCTAAGACTTTGTTCTTTCCATAATTTACCTTTTGGTAATATGCATCAAGAATATGCTGCTAAATTTATTATTTTTTTTTAAATGTGCCTGATAGTTATGTACCAGATTTAGAATTAGGCAAAAAGAAAAAAGAGGAGCCATAATTTGGTCTATATTTTATAAAACTACTGATTTGAAGGGCAAACAAACATGGCTCCTTTAGAGGCAAAAAAGTTTTTGCAAAAATTGTTTTCGCTCATGACGAACAAAGGCCTTTGAAATCAGTAGAAATTATTTCAAAACTGCTGCATATTGGCCTGATTTAAAATTTAAATTTTCATGCTTCTTTTCAAATTTGATACCAGATGTAGTAGAGGAAAAAGTTAAAAAGTGGTGTAGTAGTAAACAAAAAATATTGTGTTTTGTTATATGTGAAAGTATTTAACTTTTGTTTATGCTACCATAGCCTCATTAATGAAAATACAATGTATACTTGTCAATTTGAACTTAAAGTGATTAGAAAAGTTCATCTATTTCTTTATTATTTAATTGTTCATAAACTTACAGTGCATTGTTAATTGAGGGATTATATGTGAATGGAAGGTTTTCACTTGAAATGTTTTGCTTCCAATGTTTTGTTTAATCCATAGAAGTGGTGCATTGATCAGTGTACAGCAAGGCTGTCAAACTCGTGGCCCGCGGGCCGCATGCAGCCCACAACAAATATTTTTGCGGCCCGGCCAATATATCGGCAAATAATAATATATAATAATAAAATAACATATCGACGAAGAAAAAAATGAAATGTTTACTGCTAAGTAATTAACGATAATTTATTCAGTGTTGTTAGATTACTCACAGCGAGCTGACACACACACTACTTAAATTACAAATGCGTGTGAGTAGCTTGCGTTCAACTACCTTCGACTTTTGGGGGACACGTGCACTCAGAACTTGTACGCATCCCCCGATAGCCGAATGTGGCCGAACTCATGGTCTCAGTTTTCCAATCATAGTTTTGTACGATATATTGGTATTGCATTGCACATGCATGCACTTTGCTTTATTATTAATTATTACTTAATTCATATTGTTACGGATTTCATAGTTATTTATTTAGTTAGTTTTTTATTTAGAATTGTAATTCGATTTGCTTCATGTTGCCTTAGCAACGCAGATGATTTTTGAAAAGACGGCTGCGTTGGAAGGTTAAAAATAGAACAGCGTGTGCATTTAATACCTAATAAATAAATATCTCGTAATTGCTGTTGCCATCCACAAAAATCCAGATATTTATAGATGTTTCCAGTATATTCGAGAAATTAATTATAAAGCTTATAAAAGCCGAGAACTAACAACTCATCTCAGTAGTAGCTGTAGTTCTAGCGAACTGTTTGTTTACTTAATTTTCTTTACATTTTGATTTATCTCTTGTGGAAAGAATAAATTTTTGTAAACTTTTTAACGTTAACTGTGTTTATTCCAGCCCTTTGTATTCAGTATGTCTATATCAAAACCAAGTGGTAGTAAAATTAAACAAAAAATCGCTGACGAACATAGAAGATTCCAAGTAAAATGGGAATTAGAATATTTTTGCTGTGAAATAAAAGATAAAATAATCTGCTTGATATGTAATAATACTATTAATATACCAAAGTTATATAATATTAAACGTCATTACGAACAACACAAATCGAAATATAACAATTACGAAGGATTAATGAGAGAAGAAAAGTTGAAAGAGCTCAAGTTAGGAGTGAAAAAGCAACAGTCCATGTTTAGCAAAGTATTGCAAGAAAGTGAAGCGGCGGTACATGCAAGCTACGTCTTGTCCGAGTTGATAGCTAAACATTCGAAGCCTTATACTGACGGTGATTTCATCAAGGAATGCCTAATGAAAGCTGGAGAAATTGTTTGTCCTGGAAATGTGAAGGCTTTTCAATCAATTTCATTGTCTCGAAATACAGTTGCGGAAAGAGTTATTGATTTAGCCGCGAATTTAAGTGATCAGATCAAAGCAAAATCATCTAGTTTCAAAAGTTTCTCTATTGCTTGTGACGAGAGCACGGACATTAGTGGCAAAGCTCAATTAGCTGTTTCTTCGTTCTTGTGACAAGAATTTTAACATTTTTGAGGAATTATTGGAACTAATACCAATGCCTGGTACTACCACAGGAGAAGATATATTTACTTGTGTTTTTGGACTTCTGCAGAAATACAATCTACCTTTGACAAAATTAAATTCTGTAGCTACAGATGGTGCTCCATCAACGACCGGAAAAAACAAGGGCTTCGTAGCATTACTAAGAAAAAAACTTGGTGAAATTCACGGTTCAAACATTCATCATATGCATTGTATTATACATCAAGAAGTTCTATGCACGAAAGTAATAAATATGGAGAATGTTTTGTCATATATAAAAAAAGTTATAAATTTTAAAAGATCTCGAGGTTTAAATCAGCGTCAATTCACTGCTTTCTTAAGGGAGTTAGATAGTGAATATTCATGTTTGTCCTACCATACCAAGGTACGTTGGTTATCTTGCTCCAAGATTCTCAAACAATTCTGGGATTTGAAAGAAGAAATATGTCAGTTTTTAAAAACGAAAAATCAAGACGTAAGTTTGTTTTACGATCTTTCTTGGTTGATATAACCAAACATTTAACCGATTTAAATTTATTGTTACAAGGAAAAGATCATATCATTACGAACATATTTGACATAATTAAAGCATTCAAATGTCAACTAGTTCTTTGGGAAAAAGAACTTAAAAATGAAGATTTGACGCACTTCCCGACGTGCAGCATGAACAAATCAAGTTTAGATGATACTTGTTCGTATCAAAAATACGCAGAAAAAATTGCAAATTTAACAACTGAATTTGAAACAAGGTTTAATGATTTTAGTTCCCTCAAAGACAATTTTTTTTTTTTTTTTTTTTTTTTTTTTTTTTTCCTTCTTCGATTTTTCTCAATAAGTATTGACTCAGTACTCAGCCATATGCAAATGGAGGTGATCGAGATTCAATGCAACTCAAATTTGAAAGCAAAATTCATTGAAGTGGGCGTGCCTGACTTTTACAAATATTTACCAGCCAGGTTTGAAAATACTCGAAAATTCGCATATGAAATTATTTCCATGTTTGGTAGCACTTATCGGTGAAAGCAGTTATTTTCAGTCATGAAAGGTTAATAAGTCTCCTATTAGAAACCGTATTAATGATGCTCACCTTGGGTCAGCGTTGAAAGTTATCACTGCAAACAAAATTTCTCCCGAAATAGGAAAGATAATAGCAGAGAAGAGCTGTCAAGTATCAGGACGTAAACATTAAATTTTTCTTGTTCTTTTCTATATATATATATATATATGTTTATTATTGTATTATTCTAAATAAATCTATGTTTCTATGAATATTGATTTTTTTTTTTTTTTTTTTTTTTTTTTTTTTTTTTGCGGCCCGCCTAAAGTTAAACCTTGTATGTTTGGCCCAAGTGTACCTACGAGTTTGACATCCCTGGTGTACAGGATGTGGTGTAATGGAGCTATTGGCAAACTAATGCTGCAAGTTTAACAGCATCTTGTGCAATGCACCAATCATTGAAAGCTGAAAGTGGATTTATGTTGCAATGTCATTATGATGCATAGAAAGTAAAGGCTATTCCAAAAGCATTTTATGATAATATGATTTCAAGTGTAGTAGTATCCCACATTCATGGGTAATGTTCCAACACTTTCTGTAGATACATGAAGCTGCATATAATAATAAATGTTATATAATAGACAATATTTATGTGACATGCATAACTGCAGTTAAGTTTAATTGATAAATTATACAAGTAAGACATTACAAACATTAAATAATGCAATAGTAAATCATTCTTTGTACTGCAGTACATTATGGTATTTTAGTGTTAAAATACCATAATGTACTGCTGAGAAAAGTCTAAAGAGAAGTATTTATACAAAAACCAAGATAATTTAGATATTCTCTGAACAGTGATAGCTGAAATTATTTACTAGTGTATTTATGATCATCAAATCAATGTGAGCTAAGAATCTTCTGTAAGAGGATACAGCTATTTTCTGCCGTAAACATTTCCATTCTCCTTATTATCAGTTACATCAGCTCCCACTGTCAATGCAGATGCTTGGGAAGACAATATGAGCTATATCTTAATTGTTGTACTTCAACTGTGATACTGACTACTGTCACTTTGTCTTTCAAAATTTATAACATACAAAACTTTGGGAAATTTTTCTCTTCTGTGTTATACTAAATTGTGGATGGAATCAATATAATGGGGGACAACCAATACAGTCACATCCCCATCATATATTAGACACATCCCCATGTATAATGAAAAATTTCTTGACGACCGATACAGTCACATAACTTTTTATTATTAGTATTATTTTATTTTTATCTCAAAATTCTAAAAATGTTATTTTCATCAAGTTAATGTATGCATTTTAAGCATTTAAAACATGTATTAAAAGTTTGTTATTTAATTATTTATATAGTATCTGTTAACATGTTATATTGTTTTTTGGTTTTAAATTTATATCTGAATAATTAAAATAGACACTGTAATTTTCAATCATTGCACAGTATTGTATTTTCTCGCTAATGCACTTATTGCATTTTTTATTTATTTATTTTAGTGGTTATAGAAACTATGGAGAATAAAATACAAGCTGCACTTGCAGCGCAGCAGGCTACTGCAGCAACGGCAAAGTCTTGAGAAAGGAGTTATCATGATTTAACTGAGGGAGAAAAGTCATGATATTTCAGTGTTTCTTCGTTTTGCTAAGTGTCTGTTTCAGATGTTTGCTATGTACTCACATTTGTAAAAAAAAAGACTGTCTTGTATATCTCTATAACATGCAATAAATTTATTATAAGTGCTAATTAAAATGTCATCAGAATTTCACATTGTAGTGTAAATCTCCCACATGGTGACATTGTTTTATGATTTTAATACCCTGTGTACCAGACTTAGTTCTCCCTCATTTCTAGTTTCTGAATATTTTAATTAGAACATTTAAATTTCATATGAAAATGTAGTGACATTGTATCTCGGTTCACCATTATTGAAAACCACAGAATTTGCAAGAAGTACTGATACTTTCTAGGTTCTCTATTTATATATATATATATTTCAAAGTATGGTATTTTTGAAAACATCACACTTTGAAAGTGGTGTTGAATCTATGAGGGATGTTTCCAAAGTTTTAGGAATTTAAGTACAATTTTTGTATTTTATCAATTTTGATCAGTATTAACAATACAGTTTTTCAAAGTACAATCCCCACTTAATTGAATACATGTATTGCAGTGAAAAACTAAATTTTTAAGCCTTCCTCAAAGAACTCTTCTGGTGTTTCGATATGGTTAAACTCTCAATTGAACATCTGTAAAGGTTTTTTTCAACCATGGGGACATAGACAGAATCGTGAAAAATTTCAAGTATCATATTTCAACAGAAATTTCCATTTTGACTGCTTCTGATTCCATTCCAACAACTTTTTTGTGTGACATCTAGGTATGGAAAGTATAAAGGACTCTTTTTTTTTTCCAAAACAGATTGTAAAATGGATTCAAAACGAATATTCTTATGATGTAAGTACCTCGCATAACTAAAAAATTATTAGTCATATAGAACCTCAAAATTTTGTATTTGGGGGTGCTATAACATCTGATTGCTACCTATATACAGTCAAAAGTCGTTAATCCGGACTCGTCGGGACTTCGGCAATTCCGAATTATCGATTTTTCCGGATTATAGATCATCAGTTTGAATCTCGTAAGATGGCATGCAGAAATTCTAAAATTAAAAATATGAAACCGTAATTTATGAAATAAAGAACAATTATGATCTAAAGGGTATCAAAATTTACAAAAAAAAAAAAAAAAGAAAAGAAAAGAAAAAGCTTAATATTTATTTGTTTTTACTTTATTAAACATTTCTTTCAATGTAAGTTGTTTAAGTTGCTTCATTTTATGTGATAATACTTTCTCTTTAATTCTATAAAAAGACATAATTTCTTGTTCAGTTACAAAGTTCCGCTGTTCAAGTCCCGTTAATTGCTGTGCCGAGAATACCGACTAACTTGTCGATCGAAATTTTTTCGTTTTTACTAACCTCTCTGTCACATTCTTCATGTCTTTATCCATTTTTTGTTTGTTGGACATCGAAACATACTTTCGTTTTGTAGATCCTTTGGAAAATCCAGCATCGGAAATTCTATTTGACATAATCGAAAGTTCAAGTTTACTTTTATAAAATTGCTCTTACAGTCTGCAAAAAATAATAAGTGGGATCCAATTCGAAGATTAAGGAACAACGCAATCATTAACATTAACTGAAATAGATAATTAGATAATTTTAGCTTACACCGTCCGTTATACATTAAACGCACAGGCAAAAACGTATTCTGCACTTGCGCACACGCATATGCGCAGTAGTCAAGGTCTTACGCGCATGCATAAAACGCCTGTAGGCATGTGCCGACGCGGCGCATGCACAGAAAGTTTTTAGCTTTAAGGTCCGGATTATGGGTGTCCGAATTAACGACTTTTGACTGTATATATAATTGTTTTGTAATTATATATATGCATACATACATACCCTCTTATCTGGCCTTTATTTTTGCAATAAATAATGAAACCAGAGTTGCCAACTCTTCCGATTTTCGACCGCTCTCCTGCCAACCCGATTTACAATATATTTCTCCCGACTTTTTCTTATTCTTAAAATTTCTCACGTATTTTATGGAACTTGGCTTAATACTTTGTTATATGAACAAAAAGTGATTTTGGACATCTGAAAGCAATTGAATTTTTTCTAGATTATATCCAAAACAAACTTTGCGAATTAGATAACTTCTGCTTTGTGAGTGAGAGCATATACGTATCCAGAAACGTCGTTCTCCAGTTCTCCAATGGGCATCTTGCTCCATTGCGTGTCACCTGGCATATATTAACCAATGAGGACAAAGCAAGCTGTTATTTGGATGTTCTATAGTTATTTCGGTCATTTTGTCCTGAGTTGTGTGAGTACACGTGCCTTCGGAAAATAGTTTTAGAAATTATCATCTTTTCTTATGTCCTGCGAGAAAGGTGAAATACTCGTGTACGTTTCAAAAATTGTACACAGTTGGCTTTCCTTCCATTATTTCCTCAAGGAAATGTAATAAATTTGCAATGTGTACCGCCTGTCATTGCGATTTTTCGATTTCGCATGGTAGAAGGGCGGATGTTCTCAAACATGTGCGTACACAAAAACACAAGGACAAAATGAGTTGTTTTGAAAAAAACGAAAAATGTAATTTTTATTGGGAAGCGAAGGACCAAAAAGTTATTGATGCAGAATATCTGTTCTCTGCCTTTTTACTGGAGCACAACCTGCCACTGAATGCATTGGATTACACTGCAGCTTTATTTAGAAAAATGTTTCCCGATAATGAAATCGCTAAGAAATACTCAAGTGCAAGAACCGAAACAGGCGCAATTGTTAAAGAAATAGATTTGAAAAATAAATCTTCAGTTATTGATCGCATTAAAACAGCTCCGTTCTGCCTCTCTACGGATGGAAGCAATAATACCGATTCAAAACTGTATCCAATTAGTGTTTCTTTTTTTAATCCAGAGTATTCAGAAAATGAGTGCAGTTTACTTTCTGTCCCCACTTTAGAAAGACATTTGACAGGCTTTACTATAGCACAGCTAATTATTAAAACTTTAACAGAAAATGTAGTCCCTCTGGATAATCGCTTAGCACTTGGTGCCGATAATGCACCAGTATTGGTAGGCTTGAAGACTGGTGTTGCAGGCATCTTAAGAAAGGAAAATTCAGATTTTCAGATTATGAGGTGCACCTGTCACCTCTTAAATTTAGCAGCTGAAAAAGGGGCAGCTTCTTTACCAATAAATGTGAATGAACACATTGTTGATATTTACTATTATCTTGAAAGGAGTTCTAAAAGGAAGGGAAAATTGAAACATTTTCAACAGCAGGTTACAATTAGAAAACTTGGATGAAGTTATAAAATCAGCTAGGATTGGCACCCAGTGGAGTTTAATTGGAAAACTGAAAGATGCTTGATGGAATTTTAAAATATAGTGAACTGTCTAGAATTATGTTGGCCATCTTGACAGTTCTCCATATTAATGCAGAGTGTGCGAGGATTTTTAGTGTTGTTGCGAAAATGAGGACTAAATTTAGATCTAAAATTAGTGATGACACATTAGAAAAACTTTTATTAGCAAAAGCAGGCCTACGTGGCAATTGCTATGAACAAACTTATGAAGTTTCTTTCTTAAAGAAAGCAAAATCTGCCACTGTTTATAACATTTGTACGAAAACTGATTAAAGTTTTTTTTTTTTTTTTTTTTTTTTTTTTTTTTTTTTTTTTTTTTTTTTTCGTTTTCTTAAACGATGCAAGTAATAAAAATGTTTTTTTATGTGTAAAGTATTTTTGTGTTGCTTGCATTTAAGAATTAGTTACTATTTAAAGTTAATTCATTATTAAAAACTATATTTTCATCATTTAAAAAGTCTTTTTAACATTGTGAAAAATCTCCCGATTTCTTAAAAAAATCTCCTGATTTTTTAGTGTCGTAGGTTGGCAAGTATGTGAAACTGATCAGGATATTTAATTTCATAATTTGTTGTTTTTGATGTCATTTTTCAGCTTGCTTTTAGGGATCAGTTAATTAAGTTACAATAATTCGAAGATTGAAAAACTGATTGTAACTTCTTTATATTTAATAAAACTGATATTCAGGAAATTGAATTTTAATAGTATATTTTCACCTGTTAAAAGAATGCAAATTATCACAGAAATGTAGATTCTATTCTGCTGCTGTGAAATGGCCCTTTCTAAAGGATGTTATATTTATATTGAAACTAAAAACATGCAATAAATACCTGTGTAAATTATGTTGTATGCAGTTTATGGTTTGCTTTTATTATGCTCCTTTAATATTTAATGGTGGCCTTGTAAAGATCTATTTTCAATGAAAGGTGTTCACAACCATAAAGTTTATTATAAGAATATTTTTTACCAATTATATGAAATTGAAATAGGTATTTCATGCCCAATTCAGTAAAAAAATGCAAGAGGTGCATAATTTAGAGATGTGCGTACGTACAAAAGGAAGTGCTTCAGTAAGATGAAGTATTAGTGTGTGGTGTATCAAGTAAGTCTTATCTTTTCATTCGCTTGTTTCCATCATATAATCAGTACTGAATGAGACTGCATGGTAAAATGGCTAGTTGCTAAATTAATATTTTGTGTGTGTGTGTCAGAATAAGGGCTGTGGAGTCGGTAGGGAAAATGACCGACTCCCTCATATATACATTTACAATATAACATGGGTTACAGCTTATTTTTTTAATGTAAAAGAAGTAATAGATGCTACAGAAAAGAAAAAAAATGATGGCATAGCAAATTATTTATATTAATTAGCATTTATTATGAAATGGAAAAACTGGCAATAGTTATTTCTAAGAAACAGATAGCTTCGGCAAGATCTTCTTTGTTGGAGGGTCAAAGATCCGATTTGATAAACTCCAGAGCTGAGAAGAGTCTTTCCACACTAACTTGAGTAGGGGGAAGTGCTGTTACTGTTAGGGCTACTTCTTTTAACTTTTCAGGATAGATTTTTATAAGTTCTAAAAGAGGTATCTTGCAAGCGCAATCATATTTCTCTATTTCTTCAAAGGCCCTGTAGAAATCTTGTTTGTATTTTTTTCATTTTTATATCGAAAGGCTCTTGGTTCTTTATTTTCATTTGCTTTGCGTTAGCCTTTTCAATATTATCCAAAAATATTTCTCAAAATCTAATTCATAACTGGAAGAGGATGATAGAGACTCATTTGCAACGTCTGCAGTTTGACTGTCTTGATTCGAATTCTCCAGTTCTAAGAATAATCTCATTCTTAATGAAAGTTCATAGGTGGCTTTCTTTGCCTTTTTAATTTGTTTCCCATCCAAGAAAATTGGGCGTTTTGGATCTACATATATTGAACCCAGCAAGATCTGATTGTCTAGCAAACTATTTTCTCTTTTCATTGAAGAAATGATTCTTTCTGCAATAAACCCTCCATTTCAGAAAGAACAAACTTCACATTCTTCCATTCTCACCTCTTGTCAATTCTTCAGATTGCAGCTCTTTTATGGCTATATATGGTGTAGAAAGACGAGTTTCCAATTCTGTAAAATCATCCACAGTCTTTCTGTTAATGAAACATTAGGGTTATCTACATCTGAAAACGTTCTTGATTCTAACAACCTCTTTATCATCAAATATGTACTTCCTTATCGTGTTGCTTGATCAATAATTGCTCACTTCCTAAGAATGGCATCAATTTTGGGAGTTCTTGCTGCTACTGCTGCTTACCTAAATTTACCAGTGAGATTTGTAACTAAATGAATCAGTCTAATCAGTAATAGCAAATATCACATCCATCCTCTTCCCTTATATATATTTATTAATATGTCAATATAATAGAAAATAACTATTTATTAATGTATCTAGTTCATAAATAAAAATAATAACTGAGGTTGTCATTAATTTTTTTTTTTTTTTTTTCAATTCATTTTAATTATATTTCAAATTCAAACTGTACCAACAAAAACTGGAGGTCGACCTGTTTTTAGCAACTCCAGCTCTGACTCTTTTTATCCCAAAATCTGCCCGACTCCACAGCCTTTGTCAGAATTCATATTTCATTGCATATATTTTAAACTATGACTTACATAATCCATGGAATTCTTATGTGAAGAGAAATGAATTCAATTAATTTTATGGTCTGTCTTGAAAAATTAGTTTGTTTTCTTCGCTGTCTTGAAGATGTTCTACTCTGTAATGGACAGATCAACTAAATCTAAGGTGACATACATAATTGCATTGAAACAATGACACTTAACCAAAAGCCAATGCAATAGAACTTCTATTATCCAAACTAATTGGGATCACAGCTCATCAGTAAACTGAGTTGTCTGTTATGTGAATGCCAGACATATATTTATGATATTGCAAGTGAGTAACGTAATGCCGCAATAATGCAAAATATTATTCTTTACAATGAAAAGTGTCACTTGATCCTTAATGATAAATACCTATATGCAGAAACAATTTGACATATACTAAAAATAGATCTTAAAATATATAGATGTTATACCTGCTTACAACTGTTTACTAGAAGAAATTAACTAACTACTGTTTTAGGTAAGACTTTCTTGCATAATGAAAAATAGGTATAATGTCACCACAGTGTCAATTTAGTTAAACAATTCTGAAATTTCATTTAACAAATAGTTTTTTTAGAGCAAGGGTGTTGGTCCAGAAGGGCTATTCGATTTGGCATTTTGCGTCCAAAACATTAAATTTCACTTTTCAAATTGTCGCCACCAAATATTATTGCCCTGTCTTCTTATATAAAAAGAAATTAAATAAGAATCTGCATAAATGTATGTATGTTTTTCATGTTGTGATAAAACCAGGGTACCTACAGACATCAAATTTTGAATAATGTAATCTTCCACCAAATATGCACATCTGGAAGCCCTAATTTGGAATTTGACATTTGTTTTATTATCGATTTCATATTTTGTAACGCTTCAACGAATTTTTTATTAACAAACTCAACAATTTCAAAGCAAGCAATGGCAACACTGTACAGGAAAAAAAAAATTATCTCAAGCACGTGAGACTGTATCAGAAATTCTAAAGATATGCTCATTTTAAAATTATTCTGCGATATTGCTGTTGAATTGAATTTTATGGTTTAAGCGCAAAGAACATTTAATAAATAAAGGTAACACACAAAAGGTTTAAAAAAAGTCCCTTTGGGTGTAATGTAAAATCTGAAAGATCTTTCAGATTTTTTTTTTAAGGATTTCATTTATGTTTTGTTTAGTCACATGTACTTTGAGAGGTGTATGGAGATTTTAGGGCACGCTGCATTATTTAAACTGAGAACAACTGTAACTAGCATGTCTTGTAGTAAAAACTTTGGTAGTGGCATAGCTAGAGATTTTGCAGCTTAGGGTGATCCCTGATTTGTCACATTATTTGCTGATATGCAAAAAAATAATGGCATGTAGGAAAATAAATTAAGATTTTACATTTGTTTCTGAAGAAATTTAAAATTATACTATTATTTTGCTAGTTTTTTTATTCATAAAACCATCAGTGATATTGTAGAGATCTATTTGATTGTTCTTGCTGTTACATAGACAGTAGAGAAAGATTTCTAAATGCAAAATATAATTTTTTTATATATATATATACTTCTAAAATGATTTCCATTTAGAAATAGACATTTTACTTTATTTACATTTAGACACTTTACTTCTCACAAGTATACTTTCATCAGTGCAAAAAAAAATTCACACCAGTATTACAGTATCTGGAAGAATGTTCTGGAATTATATTTCAAAACAAACTAAAAGTTAAAAGGATTGTTCTACCATGTTCTTGTTTCTATTTGCCTTGCAATAACAAAAATAAAATGGAAATAATTCCTATTCTTAACAAGAATTTTTTTGTTATGAAAGTCACCGTGACCATAATTTAGTTTGCAACAAATCAAACATTCAATAACAACCTATAAACCACTTTGAGCTGTAAACAGTATGCTTGTAATTCTTTTTATATTATGTTTAAAATAAAGTATTTTAAAGATCATTCTGTCAAGCATTTATTTGGAGTAAGAAAATAAACCTTTCTGTTATAAGATGATATTCATAACTTGCATTCAAAAGCTTCGATGGAATAAAACAGGTACAACAAGAGCATGTAAAAAGCTGCTAATATCATATGGTGATTTCTTTCAATACTTCAAAAACATGTAAAATATCATTTCTTCTCAATTTAATTCCATATGATAGTTTAGAATCTAATTATTCTTCACCTGTTTCAAATGTTTCACTTAAAAAGGCTGCTTCTAAAAGTATGCCATTTTCTTCTCAATTTAATTTCATGTGGCAGTTTAGAATCTAATTATTCTTCACCTGCCTTGACCATCCACCTAATTAACCCCTATAAAATAATGCTTCATGCTAAAAATGTGCCACCTAGTGCATGCTGTCCCTGCGTCCTCCTGTTTAGCTGTGCCACTGGACTTGTTTGTTACTGTTATTTCTGCAGAAACTGCTATTAGGTTGAAAGCAGTCAGTCAGTCAGGAAGACTTAATTTCTGTGTTTCTATTGTTTTAATGCTACATACAAGTGGTAAGAAAATAAAGTTAAGGTTTTACAATTTGTGTGTTTGTTGCTTCCACAGCCAGTTATAGCCAAGAATGATAACTCGCCATCACAAGAAAGGTAATATTTGAGGGTGTGTAGTTGGTGCTCCACCTCTCAACTTGTTACAGGATTATTCACAAATAAACACAGAGCAATATGTCTATGCACAGTATGTTTTTGTTTTAAGTTTAGTATGAATTTATTTACTTAAATAACTTTTTTCATGGATTTTAATCATATCAACAATACTGTGTATACTACACTTTTAAGTATTTCTGAAGCTATTAAATTAATTTAGATGAATGTCAGCATACATCATGAAGACTGACCTACAATTTTTAATAAATGTTTAGTGTAAGATCATTAAATTTACTTAGCCAAATATTGAAGAATAAAATCTGGATAACAAGCTCTACAGCATTTCTCATATAAATAAATGAACTGGCAAATTTAAAGTAATAAACTTTTTTTTTCCATTAAACTTTTCAAAAATAATTTTTTATTGCATATATATATGTACAAACGTGACAACAAATTAAAATCCAGAATCATTATTTAACCACTTGACTGGTGATATTGAAATATATTTGTTTTATACAGTGTTAGTTTCTGCCTGCTGCACTCTGTTTTGAAGTTCCATATGATGAGCACAGTCATACTACAACCTGAAAGTTCTAAATAAAAATATGGTCTTTCATTCCATTGAAATTCGTCTTGTTCTTACGTAATATTCAACTGTAGCAGCTGCTACAGACACTAGTAAAAGTATTATAAATAAGTAAAACACTCCAGACACTTCATGCAGAGTCATAGAATTGCTGTAAACTTTCTGTAGGGAGAAGAAAGAAAAGCATTTATTAATATTTTATTTCTAAATTATTTGCTGTCAATACATTTTTACTCTAAAATTTTTCTTGTATACATCAAATATACAGGAAGAATTTCTCTCAAAGTTCATATGTTTTTCATGTTCTTTTATTAAAGGTTTGAAATTTTGACTTTAAAACTACGTGCTCTTTTTATATCGAAGTCAGCACTTCTCTTCCCCCCCCTCGTAATAATAATATAGGAACAGGTGATAAATGTGAAATAAAGTGAAGGGAGAGAAGTTTCATAAGTAGTGAGATGGAATGCTATCCTGTCTCCAGTTACGCTGCGAATTCACCAGCATTTGATTGAATATACTGTTACGAATTTTGTACACATTAAATAATTTGTCAAATTATATGCAAAACTGTATTACATTTTGTATAATGTAATGTGAAATGCCTGAAGAAATGAAGTGCTGCCGGAAAATTAAGATTACAGAGTTTTACTATTTAACATTTAGGTAAATGATTCTGGCTAAATTGGCGATGCTTTTGGCGACTAATTTTTGTCTCCAAATATAGCGATCCTTTGGCGACATTTTGGTGCGGTTACTGTATAACTGTAGAGCTGATACTGTCAGTTGATCCCTGTATGTAAACCGCATCTGCCCCTTATATGTAAATTTAACCCTATAATTAATTTCGAGAAATAGAAGGTACTGGAGATTACATGATGGCTGGGGGAAAAGTAAATAAGATCTGGGAGAGTATCATTTCTCTGTTGTTGAGTTCGATGTATTGAGAGATCACATCTTCGCTATTTAGATGCGCTTTGCATTGCACTGTGTTTAACGTTCTTAGTAGTTTGAATTGTAACTACAGTCAAAAGTCGTTAATTCGGACACCCTATTCGGATGCTCTATATCGGACCCAAAGCTAAAACTTCTGCGATGCGCCGGTTGAAATACGATAGGCGATACGCGTGAGCGTAAGACCTCTTACGACTGCGCTTTGGTGTGCGCAGCGCAGACAGAATGTTTTCGCGTGCGCGTTTTATGTTAACGGACGGTTGTGGTAAGTAAAAAAAATTATCTAATTATATATTCAGTTAATGTGAGATGCGTTGTTCTAATTTCGAATTGGATCCGGCTATTATTTTTTGCAGACTGTAAGGACAATACTATAAAAGTAACTGAACTTCGATTCTATCAATAGAATTTTGATCTGGAGCTCCCAAAGATGTACAAACGAAAGTTGTTCGATGTCCACAACAAAAATGGAATTGCTGCAAAAAAATGGATAAGACATAATATTGACAGAGAGTTCGTGAAAACGAAAAAATTTCGATGACCAAGTAGTCGGTTTCTCGGCACAGCAATAAACGGGACTGAACAGCGGAACTTGTAAGGAAACAAAAAATTAGTTGTTATAGAATAAGGATTATCACATAAACGAAGCACTTAACAACTTACATTAAAAGAATGTTTAATAAAGTAAACAAATTAATGCTTTTTTTTTTTTTTTTGTAAATTTTGATATCTTTAGATCATAATTGTTCTTTATTTCATAAATTACGGTTTCATATTTTTAATTTTAGAATTTCTGCATGCCATCTTACTCGATTTAAACTGATGATCTATAATCCGGAATCGTCGAAGTCCCGACGAGTCCGTATTAACGACTTTTGACTGTACTAATTGTACTCTGTGATACTGAGAACAGCTGTAACAGTATTTTTGTAGAAATTTCCAGAACTGTAAAAGGTTTCTTTGGGGAAAAGAAATTTTATGACGCTATCATGAGTTTTGTGTGCATTTATTCCATTAAGAACCCGTACGCACATAAGAATATGTAAAAAAAAAAAAGTTTACATAGAAAATTTTATATGTGTGAGATAATGCCACATATTTTTCCTTCTGAAATACGTTAATATCTGGAATAGCATATTTTAAAATGTTCATGATATTAATATAGACTTTCTGCATCATTAAAAGCCCTTCACCTAAGTTACTTTATTTTAATAGAATTCTAACTACCTTTATCAAAGGAGATATTATACTAAATAATCCATTAATGTATGTATATATATATTCTTGAAAACTTCAGCTATCTCTTAGCCAATTTTTTGTACGATGGAATATGCATAATCATTGAAAGTACAGAGTAAGTGTTACGTGCAACCAAATACTGCTCTACAGCTATGCCAATTCTGACTTCACGTCTTTCAGAGAAGCAGAATGGTCGTGTCGGTGAAAAAGAGGAGAGGAGAATTCTATTGAACGAAAGTAGATGCAGAAAAGATTAATGATAAGAATTACTAATGAAGTACTGTATGAATGGCTTCTGTCAATTTCTTTTCGTGTAATCGTAGTCTAAGGGTGGAATTTAATTATTGTTGTTATTGGTTATTTAGTACAAATTTTACTCATTCTATAATACGTTTGTTAATAAATAGAAATATTTTATTCATTGTGTTTTCTTTTTTGTTGTGGTAGCAAAAGATACATAAATATTATGTAACTTCCTTCCCCGTCGCTGAAAATAAAATTTCTTCAATAAACGCTATCCAAAAAATACCATTTAGTAGTGAATCTCATTGATGAACCCACAAATCCGAACTTGCGGAGGATCCTCGAAATTACTGATTCTAAAACAGATATTAAAGATGTTAATCAATAATAAATTATTTGTTTGAAAGAGTATATAAGATTCTATTTGGAATACTGTTAAACAACTGGAGCTTTCTGGGGTTGTAGTTTCGATGACAGCATAAATTTGTGTAGAAGACTTGCAATGAATATGATGATTAAATTGTGCTGTAATGATTAAATTAAATGGTCTTAAACCTTAGTCAATGATAACAATCATAAACGATAAACATCATGCACAATACAATGATTAAATCATAAGCAATATGAAGATTGAATTACTGTAAACCATACGATAATTTAATAAAATTAATTAATTGTTGTAAACCTTACAAACAAACATCACCAACAATATGATGATTAAATTAAATTGTTGATTAAATTAACTTCTTGTAAACCTTAGTCGATACATCTGCCAACAAGTGGACGGTGATTAACAATGGTAATTCGATCAGGTTGCGTGGTTGTTTTCATGGCTGCGATTAGTTCATTCTACGATTTTGTCATTCTTGGAAATGTTTGATACGAAAAATAATGACTCTGCAGAGCTTAAATTGTGTCGGTACTTCTCAATTTCTGCGGTAAATGTTGATTCTAGCTGGAGCTCACCAGAGTCCTAATAAAAGATCTTCGGCACTTTTTTTATGTAAAATGGAACGTACTTTCAGCGGGAAAAATTTTATTTTAAAAATAAATATGCGTTAAAAGTCGATTATAACTTCCGAATACATGCCTGATTTTCTCTAGGGTAAAAATGGACGGAGGTGTTAACGCTTTTAAGGAGAGACAGTCCTCTATCGGCCTGTCAAAGGCTTATTCTCTCCATAGTGCAATGAATTTTCAAGAGCGGGTAAAATGTTTTGTTCCCGAAAGTACTAAAAATGATTACCTTGCTTGTGCACTTCCAGCACCAGTGAACTGTCACTGCAGAGCTCGGGCAGACCTGAAATATGCAACCGAATACGAGGGATAAAAATTTTCACTTGTGCAGACCTTGCATTTCTTCTCATTTTGCTATCAGATACGACTTGGAGGCAATTTTTTTGCTGAATCGCATTCTGCTTAAAACATGGAGGTAGGAAGTAACCTTCATGGCCTTTCCTACCTCCATGGCTTAAAAGCTAAATTTATACGGGTTGGACATCGCAGTCAGAAAGCTTAGGACTCTTCCGTCATCTTTTCGAAGCTAAGTTTCTCTATTAAAATTCCTTTCCATACTCTCCATATTGTTTCTGCCATTCTCTCTGTTCTCATTAGTGCCCCTTTAATGGTTTTATGTTTTCCATTGGTGTGGTGGGAAAAGAATGGATTTTGTTTCTTTCATCCCATCTCTTGAAATAGTACGTTATACCGTATATTCAAAGCCAGCTAAGCCATTGCATAGTTTTTATTAAGTTTTATTCATATTTAATTATTTAATTATTAGTCATTTTGTTTTTTTAGTTATTTTTCCCCCTTCTTCCATAGGGCTCCGGCACTTCTGATTTTAGAAATTAAGCCCTGTGAATGCGTATTAGATTTTGTTATAAACTTGGTAAAAGGTCTTCATGAAATACAAATTGGTTTAATGAGGTTTCAGCGAGAACACTTTTCGCTAAATGAAAAATTAGGCTTAACTGTTTCGAAAATGGTTGATTGTCGATTGAGATGATAATCGTTCTGAATGGCTCTGAACCAGCACATCTCCAAAGGATGGAGCAAAACAGCATAGCATTCTGAAAAGCCTCTAGACAGAAGATTCATGATGTCTGCAAGATTTCTTGTTTTCCTGCTCATATCAGCTAATTTTACCGCATGAAAAGACTTCTCACAAATTTGATCCATGAATACGTATAGTATGAATTAGTTTTTGGCCGAGCTTTGTCTTTCGTTCTCCTTACTCATCAGAATTAAAACTATGTGATCAGTGCAGGAAAAGTCGTAAGAGATATTGAATGCTATAGCAAAAGATGACTCTGTAAACGCTTTCTGTTTGTGGGAATAGTTGCTGAGACTAATGTTATTCTAACTCACTACATTCTTGCTCTGCAGTGGAAGCGTATCATAAGTGAAGGATTTAAAAAACTATAATGCCTGTTAATCAATATTCTGTAACCGTAACTCCGTAAACTCTTTCTAGTTGTAGGACTAATGTTATCCGAACTCACTAGGAGCATCTTTTTACACTGCAATGGAAGCGTATCATAGATGACGGAAGTAAAAATGTATATTGTCTGTTAAAAAGTATTCTATAACAGTAACTCTGTAAATGCTTTTTAGCTGTGGGAATAATGCTGAGACTTATGTTATCCTAACTTCTTACACTGCAACAGAAGCGTATCATAAGTGACGGAAGTAAAATAGCTATAATGTCCGTTAATATGTATCAGAAAAGAATTTTAAGAATTTTGGCATAGCCTCTCTCAGTGAGATTAATTTTCCATCTCATGCTTCCAAGCATTAAAATAGTCGCACATTTGTCGTGAGTAATAATGTATTTAAAAAATTGCGGTTATAAGGGAGTTGCATTCTCACGTGTGTAAAAACTATTCGTGTAATCATATAACATGTTTCAAACTTTAACCAACAATATAAGGGATTTGAAGTTTGACTTAATATAGCATGATTAGTTAAACAAAGCAGATTCAGCTGTTGAATAGTATACTGTAAAAACAAAATACAAAATAATTATTATAAATGCTAACACAACGTATTACTTGCCTGTAAAAGATCTCGATTTGGATCCTCGCACAGAGTGCTGCCATTATACCACCATTTTTCGTACAACATCCGTAGAATTCCTCTTTCCGTCAGGGTCAGAATACCATGATCTATGAGATCCCTACAAATATATAATAAATTAGCTTCATATTTTCAGAAACAGGATGAGAAAGTAATTTGTTGTTATACCAGTATGAATAATCTATTTATGTAAACTGTCGTAGATTTCGCATTTTAAAGCTGTGTCAAAATTTGTATAACATGTTCAAAAATAAGGAACCTGGTTTTGAAGAACTACATCGATACAGTTCACAAATTTGAAATGCCCAGGTTTCAGTAGCAAGAGAAGTAGAAAGCAAGTGCTCTGTTTTTGAGATGAAATCTTAGTTTAAAGTGAGTTAGTTTCGATTTCAATGCATTTTGATTGGCTAATTCATTACTCACTAAAGTTATTGTAGGCTGAAACCTTGTGCAAGTTTTCTGCGTTAAGCTTTATGCAAGAATCAAATTGTGGCTTTAATTTTGAAATGGCGCAGTTTAAATTTAAGGAGCTACTATTTTTAGTCTGAAAAGAGGAAATATCCAAATTAAAAGGGTTAAGAGACTATTGCAAATTAAAGTTAGTATTTTGTTTTACTTGTTTTTATGTTACATACTATTTTGTTTACTTTATATAAGTATGTAAAGTAAAAAATAATATATACAATGCAATTACGTAGTATATTATGTAATTAAATATATATATATAATGCAATTACTTAGTATATTATGTAATTATATATATATATATATACATATATATATATATTTGGTTGTTTGGTCAAGTACGATAAAGCACGATAGGCTAAGGAAATGTGTGCTTTGCCGGGGGAGGGCTTTTTAAGAAAAACCAGTTCTTATTCATGTTACACATTAAAAAAAAAGTATGAAAACTCCCATTCACTACGGTTCGAGCTGTTGGTCAAAATATCAATGCCCAATGTCCTTCACTACTCTGCCACTGGTGACCATCAACATAACGTAAATTAACACGGTTCAGAGACGTGGATACAATTACAGAATTTAACTCGGTTCAGGCATTATCTTTTTAAATTTCGAATTTAATTCTTCAAGTTGTTGCTGTTCAAGAAAAAAGCTGTCAGAAATTCACATTTATAATAAAGGTATCTTACACGAAATCAACTTTTCAAATATTTATTTTAAAGTACATTTTTGAACAATAAAGTTCCCCACATAAAAATAACTATCTTAAATTTATTCCATAAAAGCAACAGAAATTCCTTATTTCATTTGTCAAAAATTTAATTAGCTAGCTTAAACTTTTGAAATAAAGGATGTTTGAGAGGTATCGTTTATTATTAATGCCAGAACAGATTGTTATTAGTTTTATATAAAACTCTCCCTTTTTTCGTTACATTTGAAAAATTTAAATACAATTTTCGATAGTCGCAACTAAATCTAACAGTAAATTAATTAATATTTTTAAAAACATTAACTGGAATTTTATTCGTATGTCAACGGGTAAGTGTATTTGAGCCTATGTGTGGCCAAATAAATACGACCACTGAACACTGATAGTTCGAACCGAGTTCGATTACCAGCAAATGAGCCGACTGTATAGGGTTTTCATGGTCCCTCCATATGTAAGTCAATAGGAAACAATTTCCTTTAGAAAGTCCTCTATATATAGGCATCTTTTCCTTAAGCAGATAACACACATTTGCTTTGCAGTAAAACCCATATTCACCCCATGCATTAAACCCAATGTGTGCACCCATGCTCAATAAACAAGCTAAACTCATTTAGGATAATAGTCTATGAATGAGAAAATGCGAGAATAGATTATTTAGTTGAAGAATATATATATGGAATAGTAGTATAAAACTCACTGCTTTTGAAATAAAATGTCAAGTAAAAAGAATACTTTATTTTATACATGTTCATATAAATTAATAGTATAATAAATAACAAATTCAAACGGTTAAATTAAAATAAAAATTCAACTAAATTCTAATATAATTTTCTAAAGAAACTTATAAACATCTTAGCACCAGTTATTTATTAAGGCGATTTAAATGGTTTCGTATAAAATGGTTTCGTATATTCAGCTCTTCATGAAGCCTGAACTGTTTACTTGAACGATTGTGAAGGACAGTTCTTGTAACACGTTCCTTAACCCTGCACTAACCCGCGGTAAATCTTTGATACAGATGCCATCGGAAGAATTCTAGCTTTATTAGCGTTGGAGTTGAATCTAACTATTTAACGCGAACACCCAACAAATCTATCGTGATCAAAGGTGCTAAGCGGCCATTTTTGCCCATTTTCATCGACTGTGATACACTTTTTGAAGCCCATATGTTGCCTATTAACTTACATTTCATCTATTTATATTTAACACTACGAAATGAATGCTACCATGCATTGACTGTGTTCACCTACCGGCTGTTTTCAATATTCTGGCCGTACAGTTCACTGACATAATGGTCATTCTTGTATTCAGAAGTCAGTTGCAACATGAAATATCACATGAAAAATTATGTATGAATATACCATCAGTGTGCGTGCAATAAATGCGAAGTGCACGTTGAACCCAACCAATCAACGATGTCGTTATGGTATACAATGAATACTGAAGATTATAGAAAACAAGAAAACAAGTCAAAAACAAGAAATTAATAAGAATAAAGTAATTACTTAAGGCAGAAATTTAGTAATTCAGAATATAACAGTTCTTTTATAAAGACATGGGCAACTTTTTAGGCTATATTAGTTCTTTTTCTCTTTAAATGTAAGCCTTTATTTATGAATTTCATTAAGAGAAACATTTATTGCTATAAAATATTATGCTGAAAACAAAAGGTTTTTTGTTACAAACAAAAAAGGATTAAACTGCAATAACTTTTTATTACAATTATCAAAGTCCCGCAAGAAAACGTCTAAAATGGTCTATAGGAAAAGTAATTATGGACTGTTGCATTAAAAAGATTTCTTAGAGATGGTGGGGTTTTGAAAATGACGAAATAATGTTAATTTAGTTTTGTTTTACTATGAGGAAGTGTTATTATCACTCTGCAGGAGCACATACTAAAGCTCTGTGTCATTTGTACACAGTTCTATCAATTACAAATACTCTCGATTCATGGGGTAAAATTACTGATTGTTACTGCTTGATTCTAGGTAGAAGAAAATATCTGCATCTGAGATCCCCCCCTCCATGTGTTTCGGAAATGAGTTCATGGTCTTAGTTTCTCCTACAATGCTTATCTTCTTAAAAACAGTCAACCCGCATGTATTTCGCCATGACGGGGCCATTCATACTTTGTCCTCTGCTTCCTCATCATTGCAAACAAACACATATCTCTAGGCAAGATTGTTATGTAAGCTTTAAATAAACGGGTCTTTTGCATTTTTACGTAAAGCTTTATTAAATTTTAGAAACTGTTCTCAAAAATCGATGCAAATGTATAAGTGGAATCTCGATTAATGTTTGGAAGCATTACTTTTCCAAAAACTTAGGACAAATAATTTGCATGTACCCAGCTTTGCCCTTACAGGAATCATTTAGTGGTTCCTAGCTTACACACTGACTAGCCCCTTAAGTACCAAATTGAAGTTAACGCAGTGAAGGTCTCGTGGAATATGAGCCCACTGTCTTTAAAATCATCTTCAAGTGATTTTTTACTGATGACCCGTGTGTGTTTCTACACCTCTTTCCGAAAGGCTGGTCGTAAATCTTCGACTAGATTGAATTTGGCGTCTATTCCAGCATTCGTATTCAGTTTTTGTGAAGTCAAACAACGTAAAAAAGTGAAGTATACAGCTTGACATAACTCTAGGAAAGCTTTTCTTCCTGTCAGCGAAGGAGGGTGACTAAAGGCAGGAAATATTACTATAAAATTTTATATTGGTGCAGTATTCCATTAACAACAAGTTCGTAGAAAGAGAAAAGATGGCACTGATGCAACTTGAGGCTAGGACAATCTGATAAAACCTTTGCTGATGTGCAGCATATTGCAGAATAGATAAAGCTGCTGTTTAAGACAAGAAGCAAACAAAGACCAAGCTATAGAACTTCTTCTTGGTTTTATGGTTGCAATTAAGAGTCCCATCATATGGAATTAATTACTAAAGCTAATACCAGTTTTCCTACACAGCCTCACATCTGTGCAATATTTTGAAGCTTAACTTCTAGTTTCACGAAGTTTTGGAAAGTCTTTCATTCAAGTGGTAGATAAAACTTCTGATGGGCCTGAGAACCTCTGTCCATGGCAGGTCCGTAGCATGCAAATCGTTTTAGTTTTTGTAACTGCTATCAACATAAATTTTCAATTAAACATGGTGTTCAGTTTTAAAAATGTTTATGCCTTATTTTATCTTTCTCTACAGATGGCGCTGCGCTCGCGCCAGATGTTTAATTCGTAATGTATTTTTAATTTTGCCGTGTGTTTGTGGCAACATATTAAATAAAACCAAACGACTAGTATTCGATGCTAAGAAAGGAAGAACTCATGTAAACAAATCTGATAGCTGATAAAGTCAAAATATTACTGAATTCTTTGACTCCTTTTATTGTGTCAAATTCAAGTATTTCCAGGTAACTATAAGTCGATGAAAATTCAAGGTAAGCTATTTAATAAATATTAATTATTGAACTTAACAAACACATGGGTTTTCCTAACAACACGTTTCGAGCCACATTAGATCACTGAGATAGCCTATTATTAGAAATAAGTCGGTCTATGCATTCATTCCATTTCTTAGTTCTATTGTCGTCGGAGAGTTTCTTGACAGTACAAACGCTGAATTCGATTTTCCTTGGCAACAATCTTGAGATGCTTAGCATTGCTAAATTCAGATATAATGGAATCTGCTTCCTCGTGTTGTCTGTGGAATATTCGATAGTAGTCCTAATGTAATGGAAGATATCATGTCATGTAATAAAATTTGCAATACTTGAAGCTGAGCAACAAATGACGTACTCATTGTTTAAGAAAAATGTGACAACATTCGAAGACAGCATAATTCATGTTGTAGGTAAAACGACGTAATAGCATCTGTCGACCGTCGCAGTAACGTTCTCAATTACATGGGCAGTTGAAGTCAATTACAGTTGAAGAAATCCTTAACACAGGGAAAATCTCTACCATGCAACTCTTACTCACTAATTCTTTTATCCCGTAACTTCTGGCTGTCTTCTTTTACCAAGGTGTTTCAAGATCAATATATTCTAACACTTCAAATTATCCAAAACGACATCACGCTTGTCTACAGCAAATATTAAAAAAAGTAGTCTGCCAGTGCTTACAGGACTGTCAGAAACGCTAAAATTCCCGCTAGCTTTTCGAACACTGAGGTAAATTTATTCAAGCACAATCCTCGAGCAATATGGCATTACCTAATCTATTTCTTTGGCTTCTGGAAGTATTTTTTACGTATCATAATTTATACAATTTTTCTAAGTGCAAATCAATATTAACACAATTTCTTAACTTTCTTTTCAGAAATTATTTAATACCAAGACAGAGGTTAGGAATAATCAGTATCACAGCCGTACCCTCCCACCTTCGAGTTTTGAATAAAACAATTGTGTGAGCCAAATTTTACATTGCCCTTTGTTCGAAGATAAGCAAGACGCAAATTCTCAGAGGACAGCTAACCAATATCTACGGACTGCTGGAGTGAGTACGAGACCCGCCATCGAGTTTTGGGGAAGGCACGCTTCAAACATATAAGGAGATAATATTTGCATGATCCCGGAGTGCGTCCTAAATAAATAAATAAATATTTGCATGATTTTTATTGCAAACCATAATTCGATTTTTGTTATAAATCGTAATCCAATCCAAATATTTAATTTATTAAACAAGTTTCCCCCACAAATATAAAAAGAGTTCTTTTTCGCTGTTGTTTCCACTTGGAGTGCGAGAACATTTTACTGCCATGGGGGGGATAAAACACTTGGGGGAAAAAGTCTGAAAGGTTTCAGATTTTGAATTACGTCCAAAGGAGCGGTTTTTTTTTTTTTTTTTTTTTTTTTTTTTTTTTTTTTTTTAACGTTTTGTGTGTTACCTTTATTAATTAAATATCATGTTCTTTGCACTTAAACCATATAAGGTATTTCTCCCGCTTTCTTAACGTGCCTTCGTGGCGTAGTGGTTCTGTACGCTGGGTCAGTATTCCAGAGGTCCGTGGTTCGATTCCCGGCGAAGGCGGTTGCTAATTTTTCATCTTACGTGCTTTTAAAAAATACCTAATGTCTCTACAACCATAAAATTCAATTCAATAGCAATGTCGCTAAATAATTTTAAAATGAGCATGTCTTTAGAATTTCCGATACACAGTTCCGCGCGCTGGAAATAAAATGGTTTCTCTCCCCTGTAGAGTGTTGCCTTTGCTTGCTTTTAAATCGTTGAGTTTGTAACTCAGAAATTCGTTAAAGTTTTACAAAATATGAAATCGATAATAAAACAAATTCCGAATTTCAAATTTGGTCTTCCACATGGCCATATTCATAGGAGGATTACGTCATTCAAAATTCGATGGCTCTATGTACCATTGTTTTATCGCAGTGCGAGAAATATACATACATTTATGCAGATTTTTCATTATTTAATTTCTTCAAATATAATGCAGGACTCTAACATTTGGTGGCAACAGTTTGAAAAGTGAAACGGACATTTATAGTGATTCAACGCAAAATTGCAAAACGAAAACAATAGTCCTTCAGGGACAAAGCCCCTTTGGACTAATAAAAATATAAAAGCAAGTACATTCTCACCTGACAGGAGACTGTTTCGGAAGTCCTACAGCATACGCCCTTGTATTTAGAAAACCTGTTGATACCAGTGTATCACAAGGCTTAGAATTTGCTACAGCTTCGCTAGAGGCGGATTCCATGATGTAGGCATAATATCCACCCGAATTCCTAACTCTTTCTACCCCTTCTCGGTAGGTGGCGGTCAATACATCTGGATTTTGCTTTAGGTATCGGGCAAACTCTTGATATATGCCTATTTCGGTATTCTGAAACCGTAGAAGAAAACGTCATATATCAGAAATCTGCACATATGAAGTAAACGAATTATTATAGAGCAACAATTCTATTCATAAACTGGGGGGGGGGGGGGGAAATTAATAAACCGATATGATGTTTGCATTTAATTATCACAAATTTGCAAACTCTACGTTTAATTCTATAAAATGGAAACGATACTTGACATCACTTTTCATTTATTTTTAAACAAAAACTGATGCTTTCAAATTTTCGTTTGAAATTAATGGAAACAGTGAGAAAGAATGACACTCAAATAAAACTGATGTACCAGTAAAAATAACTTTATATGGCCTTAAATTTATATGGTTATTATGTACAGGTATTTAAAGTTTTATGGCAAAATATCATAAGAAACGATCTTAGCTATTGAACACTTATAATGAAATGAAAGATAAACACGTGTTACAGAATACTGTTGAGCTGTAAACCAGAAATTCAAATGTAGAGAGTCCTGGTTCTGTAGAAATTCTGTCATAAGTCCTTCTGATCTTATTAGACTGACAAGCAAGTTATCGCTCAGTCTAAAATATTATGAAAAAGAAAGAACCTAAGAAAGGTGTAAGTAACCTTTTTATTAAATCTTTAAAATGAGCAGAAAGTTCAGCGCTTGGGGTAGTCAATAAATACTGTAAAGGCCCTTATTTTCGCGGACAGTCATTTTCGTGAAAATTAATATATCGGTGATTTCACGAGTTGAAAATTTCGCGAATTTTATATGAACAAAACCGAAAGTTGAAAAATTTCAAAAGTACCTAAGTAAAGTTGAGAAAGTTGAAAAATTCGATTGAATTGTTCGACGTTTTAAGGCACACCAAGATCCTCTTTCTCTGACTGACTAGAGAAGAGGAATATTATTCCAGTTTCTGTGCCCGCTTCCTGCACAGGAGAGCTCCAACCTTTGGACTTAACTGTAAATGGCGAGTTCAAGCATTTGCTCAAGAATGAGTTTATTGAGTGGTATTGTAATAAGCTTCAAATTCTAGAGGAAAAAGAATCTGTGGACTTGCGAACATGACGACTGAAACCGATTCACGCTTCTTTTAACGGTATTGAAGCCAAAAATGAGATAATTTTGAATAGCTTCAAAGAAGCTAGTATAAATAGTATTTTAAGTGAATGAGCTACCTTCTATTAATTTTATTGTTTTATATTCGAGAAATATAGTTGTATATTATTCAAAAAATAGTTATAAGTAAGAAAGTTGTCAAGAAACAGCTTGTAACTGTGCAATAAATCATGAAATTTTGGATGAGTAAAAAATTTCTGATTTTTTATTATTATTTGAGGCGTATAAAAAAAAAAGTATTTCGCAAGGCTTAAATTTTCGCGATTACGACGGGCTCGCGAAAATCGCGAAAATAAAGGCCTTTACAGTAACATATGTTGAAATTTCAAATTCAAGGAATTGCAAATTGTTCTTTCTAAGCTGGGCTTCCTCCTAAAATACGGACCCCCAAGAGTCCGTATTTTAATTGCGCGTTTTAAAGTCGGCTAGCGAAATGGCTAAAGCTAGGATATTCACTGGCAGAACTGGGCTATTAAATGGAAACAGCAGGCGACGCTGCCAGAAGCTCTAAAACATTCAAAACGCTTTACTTAAATACTCTAGCATTTAATTTGCAACCTACGGAAAAGAAGTTATGGAAAAGGTTTAAATCATATTAATTGTTAAATTAACGTAAAATACCTTATGCCATACACCCCTAACAATTCTCCCCCAAAATTAGTCAATAACTTAAATTCTTACTCGCATTTTCCTTGAATATATTAAAAAATCAGCTTTTCATTAGTTCCATTTTTGTCTATAGATTCTATCCCTTTCCTTTTCCCTTTTCCTTATATTTCTCTTTCCTTTCATTGCAGAGGGCGTCGTTGTTAGCTACTAGTAAGTTCTCGAATATTCATTGATCTCTCTCTTTTTGTTTGTGGTTTGTGTGTAAACTGCATCGTGGTGAGTTCTAACACTACTAATTTTTTGAGGTAAATCGTAATTCCAACAGGAGCGTACCAGAGCACTAAATAAGATGACCTTCGGCACTACTTTTTAGGAAACTGAATCACAATTTCAGCAGAAAGTCCTCTTGACTCGTAAAAGTTTTTGTTCCCTATAAGTTCAGAGCTGGAAATCGATTCTAACTTCTAAATAAACAATGGAAGCTGAGAGGCTTACGGAGAAAAAAAAGCTGCCATGTACCTTAACCTCCCCCCCCCGGGAAGTGCAATAAATTTTAGACAGCTCGATTGGGTACCAGTAAATTTCTAGTAGTTTTCCTGGTCGTACCGTCGTGTCCGTTCATTAGGTCATAAGGTATTTCTCCCGCCTTCCTAGCATGTCTTCGTGATGTAGTGGTCAGCAGGCTTGGCGCGTATTCGAGAGGACCGTGGTTCGAGTCCCGGCGAGGGCATTGCTTATTTTTCATCTCTCTTGCTTTCAAAAAATACCTAATGATTCTACAGTGGCTCCCGAACTAAATGATGTGGTGGATGATGATTCTCCGCAACCAGGATTAGGCAACGGGTTACCCTAACCCACAGCCACCCTTTAAAAGGGGGATATATAAAGTATTTCTCTCTCCTTCTTAGCATGCCTTCGTGTTGTAGCGGCCAGCACGCTCGGCGCGTTATTCGAGAGGTCTGTGAATCGAGTCCCGGCAAGGGCATTGCTCATTTTTCATCTCTTCTGCTTTCAAATAATACCTAATGTCTCTACAAGGTATTGGCAGTTTCACATATCCGCATTTACAGGTGTAGGTAGAAGTGAGCGGGACATCAGAATTTCACCATTGGCCGTAGAAATATAGTGCAGCTTCACAGAACTGTGTAGAAAAACTGTCGTTTATATCTCTTAATGCGCATCGAATGACAAGGGGCATAGTATACTATACTTAACAGCTCGTATAGCACCAAACGTAGTGACAAAGTGCCCTTGTAGAATTTTCGAGGTAATGAAATATGGGAAATGAAAATGGTTATTTTATACAACGATGCATTAAATTACCTTACTTTACTTACCTTACGTTACACTTGACTACGTGTCAAATGCAAGAGAACCCAAGACTGGGGTTCGAAGCCAAGAGAACGGGCTGGCTGTTTGGTTGGTTTTCCCCGTGTGAAACATTAATACGAGCAAGGTTTCTTTAGAAATTTCACCATGAAGATATCCCTTCCTTTACGCATATACTAGCAATCCTGGGGTTTGCCGTATTCTAACAACATAAATCATTAATAATTATTTCCTATTTTAATTTCAATTTTTTTTTCATGTTTCCTAACGACCTTATTATAACGCTGCGGCACTTAAGAAATTAAGGCCTGTTTGTGGCACTCGTCTTTCATTTAGTAGCAGCTGAAAAAACTGAAAGAGTGTTCAATTGTCGAAGCATTTTCTGCTAAAATAAAACTGACGGCAAATAAATGTTGTTTTATCTGCATGCAATAATGGGAACAGCAAAGTAATACATCGTTTATAAGTAAGTACTCTTAGCAAATAAAAAAATGGGGCAGTTCTATATCTCCCGTTCTACTGGGCCGACTAACGAAATTGAAATTGCGTTTTTCATGTCTCGAAAGCGCGACTTATATATATTAGATTTATATATAGCATCGTTCTAACATAGGTATTTTGACACAAAACTAGACTTTTTCTGAAATAATGTATCAATTTTTTTTTCAGTATTTCGATTCTACGACTCAAATGATGCCTAGATAATAAATTTTGTAAAATTTGATGCGAAATTTACAGAGAAATTCAAAAATTTATCTTGGCCCAATTTTTTTCAGGTTGCGCCAAGAATAATTCACTTGGCGAACCTCTTAATATATAGCAACCTATTTTCCTTTCCCTTCCATAATGCTGGAGAGAAAAAAAAAATAACCTCGTACCTATCCTTTTACATTGTTGCATGAACGGAAAAAGTCACTTCGTTCCTACTTTCAAGTAATTTTAGCAAAGTGCCTAAACCATATTTGATGTTTTATTGCTTTGAAGAAATATGCCAAATTTTCAAAACGGGCCAATATATAAATTCATGTATATATTCGGAAATTTTGAATAAAAAACTGTAAATTTCTGCAGGTATGCTTAGAAATACGTCTACTTTAAGATGATGGTAAAAATTTTATAGATTATAATTCAATTTTTTTTAAAGATTTATAAAAGTTATTTAAAAAATACAATTTTAAAAATAATCATAAAAATGGTTTGAATTTTATTGAAATGAACCTGAGTTTGAAATGTGAAAAGGAAAATCAAATAAGTTTGAAAAAAAAAAGAGAGATTAATAATATATACCAAACTCAATTCATATTGAGGAGCTAAAACTTTGAGAGCTAATTTTTTAAAAACTGCTCGGGTGATTTTTACAAAACCTGGGAATCTGGCATAATTTGAGTCGTAGAATCGAAACATGGAGAAGAAAAAATGGCATGCCATTTCAGAAAAAGTTCGATTTTATGTCAGAATACCTATATTAGAATAATACTATATATAAATCTAACACATATCCTCAGTTGCTTTTTCGAGATGTGAAAAACGCAATTTGAATTTCGTCAGTCGGTCTAGTACTCCCGTTCTAACGGGAGATATAGAACTGTCCACCATATCCCCCCCCCCGCAGTGACCATATCAACTACTGTAAACGGTTTCGAAAAGGAATTCTAGTTTGAAGATATTAGCAAAGATTACCGTTATGGAATATTATTTATATTGAGCTACTATCCAGAATCATATACATGAGAAAACGATTCCTCTGCAAAAGTAGCTTCGCAATAGTACAATAGTCGCAAAAGTAGCTTCGCAATAGTCAAATTTGAGATTTCAGATGCACATCAACAGTAACAGTAATAAACATGAAAACTTCAGATAAACAAGAAAAACGAGAAAGAACAATTAAACTACAGAATCCTTCTCTCCTCCTCTCTTCGTATTAGGAGATGCTTATCGTATTGAGCAAGGCTTAATCTCTAAAACTTGTTTCGGAGCCTTACGAAAAGCAGTTAGGAAAATAAAATAAAAAAATAAAAAAAATAAGTAATTAAAATAATTAAATAAAAAACATCTGAAATGTTTCAGATTTTAAATTACGTCCAAAGGGGTGTTTTTTTAACGTTTTGTGTGCTACATTTATTTATTAAATATCATGTTCTTTGCACTTAAACCATAAAATTTAGTTCAATATCAATGTCGTAAAATAATTTTAAAATAAGCCTATCTTTAGAATTTCTGATACACGGTTCGATGCGCTCGAGATAAAAAGGTCCCCCCCCCCGTAGAGTGTTGCCATTGCTCGCTTTTAAATCGTTGAGTTTGTTACTCAAAAATTCGTTAAAGTTTTACAAAATATGAAATCGATAATAAAACAAGTTCCAAATTTCAAATTTGGGATTTCAGATGCCCATATTCGCAGTAGGATAACGTCATTCAAAATTGGATGGCTCTAGATACCGTTATATTATCACAATGAGAGAAATATACACACATTTATGCAGATTTTTCATTATTTAATTTCTTCAAATATAAGACAGGACTCTAACATTTTGTGGCAACAGTTTGAAAAGTGAACCGACATTTATAGGAGTCCGACGCAAAATGCCAAAACGAAAGTAATAGTCCTTCGGGACTCAAATCCCTTTGGACTAATTAAAAATGAAATTCAATAAAATGTAAAGAGCTATACAAAAGTTTAGTAAATCAAATTAAATTAATGATGAATAGTTAAGTGACAAAATTAAATACTAGAATTCGTCTTATTTGGGGTTCCGAGTTGAAATTAAAACCTCACTCAAAAATTAGAAACAGTGGCGTCGGGCTCTGTTTGAGTTTAATTCCTGAATATACATTACAATTTACTATTTCAAAAAACGTTTAAAAACAAAGCTCATTATTTTTCCTGCATACATATGGGAAAAGGTAGAATGATTAAAGCGTCAGTAATGAGAATGAGAGAAAAGGGGAGAAAGTGTAAGTATTTATAAAATAAAGAGAAAATAGAGAAAGTGTTTAGCGAGTTCAACGCTTACTAACAATTCTCAGCCGATGTAAGTCTAGTGATCATGCAGAATGTGACAGAGAAAAACATTTCTCGCGAATCTCGGAAATGATCTATCTGTAAGCTTGGAATAAACATAAGGTTCTGCACAAGATACTATTTACAGCCTCCATATTTGATTATATCGTTGTGAAAGGTTTGCATGTGTCTTTTCCGTGGGAGGTCATTAGCGTCGATTGTGTTTGAGCCATTTATCTCAATATTTTACTACGTTAAGGCCGTTGTAACTTGGGAAAACATCACAATGATACCACTTTCACGTTCTACTGTAAATCGTGAGTAAGTGAAGCTTCCAATACTGATCAGCGGACACGAAAGCGCAATCATTTCTAGTACTTTCGGAGAGAAAAATTTACCCCTTGTCAAACGAGCTGTCATTTATTACACATCACAGAGAATAAGGTTTTGATATATGGGTGAGGGAATTTCTTTCCTTAAAAATCTTGTTTCCGAAGAAAACACGGGCGTGTATTTAGAAGTTAGAATCGATTTTTAAAACTTGCTTATTAATAAAATAAAATCTTACGTGATCGTAAAAATTTTCTGCTAGAACTGGAGTTCAGTTTCATAACAGAATTGCAAGAGCTTCTATTATTCAGCGATACGGCGTTCTCCGGTTGAATACGATTTGTATCAAAAAATGAAAAGTACTGGAGAGTACAGCCGAAAACATCGCGGATGAAAACGTCGTGGAGAAAACAACGCAAGGCGAAAACATCGTGGGAGAAAATAAAGCAAAGAGAAAACATCACAGTTCTAAAACACTGTAGTACAAAATATCGTCATCGAAAATAAAGCGGTTCAAAAGCTTCGCAGTTTAAAAACATCGTCGTCGAAAATATCATGGTAAGTACCTACAAGTCATCGCATGACGATAATGTCGTAGACTTGTGTTTTTCAGCCTTTAATAATTATAAATGGATATTCGCATAATGATTGAAGAGGAAAAGAAGGATAATTTTTACTTTCATATCTTTTATTAACTAATAAATGTATAAAAACAACACAAGAAATTTAAGCAAAAATGAATAATTTTCACTATTGCATAAGATTAACAAAAGTAAAGAAAATAGTCTCGTAATTAACTTCATGCAGTTACTTATTTTCTTTTTTTTTAATCTTTTTTAGATTACATATTTCATGAAAAATTACCAGTAAAATTTTATAAGAAAATACTTTATTTAAAAATTACGAGTGTAAGATGGATCATTCTCATACCAAAAGACAAGATATTTAAAATTCGGAAAATAGCATTGTTATAAAAAATAGCAGGAAACATCATGTATTCTAAATTTCCTTCTAGCATCAATTATTATCCTATATAAAAATGAGAGCTGACGAGATAATGCTCACAGGCATTCCCGCTGGTTTTGTCGAAATGAAAGGCATTGAATGGTAATTTTGAAAAAGTATTATAAGGTATTTGTCCCACCTTCCTAGCGTATCTTCGTGGTGTAGTGGTTCTGCACGCTGGGCCGGTATTCCAGAGGTCCGTGGTTCGATTCCCGACGAAGGCGTTGTTGATTTTTCATCTCTTCGGCTTTTCCAAATAATCTAATGTCTCTACAGTGGCGCCCGAACTAAAAGGGTGTTGGATGAGGATTCTCCACACCCAGGATTTGGCGACTGGGTCCCCTAAAAACCCCACTCGCCCTTTAAAGGGGGGAGTATATAAGGTATTTCTCCCGCCTTCCTAGCATGCCTTCGTGGTGTAGTGATCAGCACACTGAGCCGGTGTTTCAGAGGTCTGTGGTTCGATTCTCGGCGAAGGCGGTTGCTAATTTTTCATCTCTCTTGCTTTAAAAAAAATCCTAATGTCTGTACAGTATAATTCTAGTTACATAATATTTCAGACAAGAAGAGGTATTTATTATTTATATTTAAAAAAAAATTGCGGAAATCGTCATACCAAGAAAAACTTCACTGTAGAGCCAGCAGCGACAGTACCAATAGTTGGAGAACCCTTTTGTAGCGAGTCCTGAAATAATACAATAATAATAATAATAATAATAATAATAATAAATAAATAAATAAAATAATAATAAAAAAAACTTTACAGAAGCTACTGGCGAAATTTGTAAGGGGGAGAGAAAGAAAGAAAGAAGAAAAACAGAATAGATGGAAAACTTCATATAGTATAATAATTTTTACTATTTCATATCAAATATTTGTAGAAAAATATCTGATGTGTGCACCACATGACTTCCTTGTACGGCCTATTAAATTATACATATATTTTGCTTCATTTCATTTAAACTTATTTCCTCAAATTTCATTAGGCATATATTTCTCATTCAATTAATTCAGTTCTCATTTCGCGGCAAGACAAGAATACATAAAAATTTAAAACATCTTGATAAAAAATTGTAAAATGCAGAAAAGTATAAAACACCAAATACAGTTAAAAAATACAGTTTTCACAATTAGGGTTTGTAAACAGGTATCACCTCTCGGAGAATGGAAAGCAGTTCTCTTCTATAAGTGCCTCAAAAGCAGTCATCAAGAGTGCATTGTACAATGTGGAAGCAGAGTTATTATAAAACTTAGTTCTCTCGATGGGGAAATGTGTATTCGACGGCATACGGAATAATGAGGCGACTTGAATTATTAAGTAATTTGAAATAGATCACACGTTGTTAAAATGTTAATATTCTGTAAACATTTGGTACACATGTCTTCTGTGTTTTATTTTTTCTAAAATACAAATTGCTATCTTATTGGAATAATTTCTGGAATGCAAGTCCCATGTGACGAACATAAACAGACTTTTATTTGATGTTTGTGTTCCTTTCCATTTTTCTAAAACACATCATTATTAAATATAGTTCCCTCAACTATGAAACTATATTAAACTCACTCAACTATTAAATATAGTTGAGTCTATAAACTTTTTGGGACAGAGTGCGTAAATGCCTCTTCGAAGTTAGTTCGGACTTGAAAGTCGAGGCAGAAAGGACATTATTTTCAAAGTTACGGAGCACAATATGCATGGAATATGATGAAGGAATTAGTTCAAGTAAAAGTGAGTTCGACTTTTTATTGATGAAACACGAAATTACGTTTGGTTATAGACTACTTGACAACAGATAGAAGAAAAGCAGTGATGAAGATAGCGATGAAGTAGAAAGAGAAAAATTAAGGTAGTAGATAATGAAGCGACAGGTGATTCCGCAGAACAGACAAAAAATTCAGAATGGATAACGTGCACAGAATCAGAAGAAATACCACAAAGAATATCATTGGTATCTGGCGGAAGATCCACAGAGATATTAAATATTTTGTATAGAATTACCTTAAATATATACATATACTAGATTATATTAGCTCAAGAGATTATTTGTCTCGAAAGACGATTTTGCACTGATTCATAATCTGCAACATATTAACAGACTAGGTTATTTAAAAACAATATTTGTTGTTAAAAAATATTACATTTTTCTTTTCTAATTCGATTGATTTACATAAAATAGCCTAAATCAGGGATGGGCAAACTACGCCCACGGGCTAACTACGGACCGCCGGAAGGTTCTATCAGGCCCAAGCTTGTTTGGGTTATTCATAAAATATTTCAACCCTAAAATGGCTACTAAAAGACGTAAAGTTGATTCAGAGTGCAGCGTTTTTAATGAGGAGCGGACCTGGAATTATTTTTTTTACAGTTGTAAACAATAAACCAGTACGTCTCATCTGCAATTAAGCTGTAGCAGTCTTCACAGAATATAACATTTCCCGTCATTTCACAGCGTAAGAATTCCAATTAGAAAGCAATGTCCGAATATGAAAGAAAACAAAATGCAGAAAGTCTTTCTAAAAAAAAAAAAAAATCTGAAATATTTCAGATTTTAAATTACGTCCAAAGGGGCGTTTTTTAACATTTTGTGTGTTACCTTCCTTTATTAAATATCATGTTCCTCGCACTTAAACCCTAAGATCCAGTGCAACAGCAATATCGCAAAATAGTTTTAAAACGAGCCTATCTTTAGAATTTCCGATACAGAGACTCACGCGCTGGAGATAAAAATGTTTTTTCTGCACAACGTTGCCATTGCTCGCTTTGAAATCCTTGAGTTTGTTAATCAAAAATTCGTCAAAGTTTTAAAAAATAGGAAATCGATCATAAAACAAATTTCAAATTTCAAATTTGGTCTTCCACATGCTCATATTCGTTGGAGGATTACGTTATTCAAAATTCGATGACTCTATGTACCGTTGTTTTAATCACAATACGAGAAATATACATACATTTATGCAGATTTTTCATTATTTAATTTCTTCAAATATAATGCAGGACTCTAACATTTTGTGGCAACAGTTTGAAAAGTGAACCGACATTTATGAGTCCGACGCAAAATGCCAAAACGAAACTAATAGTCCTTCGGGATTCAAATCCCTTTGGACTAAAAAATTATGCCGACAAAATTTTTTAAGAAGGAAAACCAGAACAGCTACTGCAAATGCATGTAGCGTAAATGCTAAATAATAAGCTCTCAGTGATGCGTTAAACATGCATGCTCAAGTTTGATGTTTTTTCTACAAAAATTATGAGACGTCAGCTATCTCGCGGCAATCTAGAATCGAAGACATCGATAAAAATTTGACATCAGAATTAGAGTCAAAGACTAACTAGTTTAAATTTTGCTCCATAGCTAAGGATGAAAGCACAGATATAAATGATACTGCTCAATTAGTATTATTTATAAGAGGTGTTGCTGAGAACTTTGAAATTACCGCGGAACTGGCGTGCATGCGTCATTTAAAAGAAAGATATTTTTCGTGAATTTCAGGAAGAGCTTTTAACTTTGGAAGTGCCTAGGAAAAAAATCTGGATTTCTTGGAAGCTTTAATCAAAACTATCCCGAAAACAATGTTGTTTTTCTACATTGTGTTATGCATCAAGATGTTCTGTGTAAATCTGCATTGAATACGAAACCCGTGCTTGATGCAGTCGTGAAGCACGTAAATACTATTCGATCTCGTGTGCTTACTCGCAGGCATTTTCGAGATTTTCTTCAGTCCGTGCAATCTGAATACTCTGATGTACTGTATTACACGAAAGTAAGGCGGCTTAGTTCAGGATGTGTTTTCGAGCCAGTTTGGCAGCTGAAAGACGACATTGCGTCGTTCTTCCATGAGAGACGGTGTTCTGCGGAGTGCGAAATGTTAGAAGACACAGAATGGCTTTCGGATTTTGCATTTTTCACAGATCTTTGTCATATGAGCAACTTGAATGTCAAGATGCAAGGGAAAGATCAATTTATTGACGATATCTGAGCCCATCTGAAGGCTTTTAGACTAAAAATTAATCTGTTTGCTGGGCAGCTAGCTAAGAACGACTTATGTCATTTCCCGAGGTTAAATTCAATACCCTCAGTAAATGTAGAGAAGCTTAAGAATTGTGAAGATGGCTTGAAAAAAAAAAACTGTATTTTGTGTTCGAACGCAGATTTCAAGATTTCAGTGCCATTCAAACAGAATTGGATATTTTTACCATGCCTTGCAACGTAAATTGTAAAGCAGTGAGGTCAGATTTGCAGCTTGAATTAATTGAGTTGCAATCTAACATTCATCTCAAACAGTTGTTTCTAAATATGCCAAAGTTAGAGTTTTACAAATCATTATAGTACCAAAATCATTATATTTTACAAATCATTATAGTACCCAAGCAAGTTTTCCAAATTTAATATCTCACGCTCAGAAAATTAGTGCTATGTTTGCTTCATCTTATGTGAATAACTGTTTTCAACTATGAACCTTAGAAAGAATTATTTCAGAAGTAGACTGACAGATGAGCATTTAGCATCTTTCCTTAGAATCAGTACATCTCACTTCGAACCTCAATATAAAGAAATTTTTAAAATGAAACCGCAATTTCATTCATCTCAACATATTTAAACAGTAATGCTTGTATATTGTTTTTAAAATTTTAGAAAAAATTATCTTCGCCCGCCAATTTTTTTTTTTTTTTTTTTTTTTCCGATTTTTGACCCGCGGTCGATTTGCTTATCCCTGCACTAGACGATGTGGGCAGACCTAAAATACTTCGTTCAGTCCACGAGAAAGCGTTGCACAGCTGTGATTAATGGTAAAGGTTACCCAATTAAATATTAACCGACATAGTGATTAATGGTAAAGGTTACCTAATTAAATATTAACCGACACCGGTTACCAATTAAATAGTGATTAATGGTAAAGGTTACCTAATTAAATATTAACCGACATAGTGATTAATGGTAAAGGTTACCCAATTAAATATTAACCGACATAGTGATTAATGGTAAAGGTTACCCAATTAAATATTAACTGACATAGTGAGAAATTTTGCTTATTTAATTTTTTCGATGCTCTTCGGCTTTTTTCTTTGTATTTGCTGCTATCACAAGTAATCCCAGATAAATTTTATCGCATTGTATTCTTAATTAAATTATCTTTCCACTAATATGGAATTCTATAGTATTATTCTGAAAAACGGCGTTGTTATAGATCACCAAAACCTAAAAAAAATATACTTTTTTTAAAAGGTTTCCATAACTTTGGCCACTACTGCATCAATTTTAGACCTTCGTATCACTATTTTTCTATAAAATTTAATAAAGGGTTGTTTAATATAATGAAGCAGGCAAAATGGCGGAATTTTGATACGGCTGTACAAGCATTAAGAAAAGTTTGCAAATTCAGATTCGTATGTAAATTCAAATTAAAAAATATTAAAAAAAAAGGCGATAAAGGATGATATACCATTAAAATTTCTTGCGATGTCTTCTTCGAGTGGATAGTCGTTACTGTTGTTCTTGCTCGGATAAGAGCAGCTGACAAGCAAGAAACGTAAGCGAACAACAGAAAGAGGCAGAAAAGCCACCAAATCACAGCCCATACTCGGTGAGTAAATATTCTGTGAAAGAAAAAATTCTTTCTGAATAATTGTAGTTATACATCAGAATCATAAATATAGTGGTATTCGGAACGTCGCTGCAAGTTATCTTGTAAATGCTTAATTAGTGTTTATGTTGTAAGGTTCCTTTATGTTAATTATGTTGTAAATGTCCGAGTATTTTTAGAGGTTTTTATATTGTAAGAGAGAGCGTGCTCTGCCCCTATAGCCCACGTTACTACATCAGATAAGATTTGTAACTGCCTTACATTATTTGCAGTATAACTGCCTTCGGCCTTGCATTATAACTGCTGATATTGAATATCCATAACGGTTAGATTTGTAAGGCAAATTCGCGCTAAATTGATGTGTGTAGCCCTTGGCTATTACCTTATTTAAATTTAATTTTACAAGTTTCAGTTACTATTTTAGACATAGCGATAATTCGCTTAATGTATACCAAGAGTCTGAACACTATTAGATGATTGCAAAACATACCAAACTGTATAATATTTAACATACCATAATTTTCGAATCATAACTTGTAAGGTTTTACATTTATTAATCTATTACCTTACTATATTGCCTGCACTCTCACTTCTTTTTCGTCAGCTCCAACCAGAATCTAAATTAGTAATGTATACAAGAACAGAGTTCTAGATGTTAAAGAAAACTTCTGGTATCGATCATTGACTATCTTTCTACAACTTTCGCCCAGCTTGTTAATTGCCTTATAGTAAGAGTTATTTAAAAGCAAGTAAGTTTTAGTGGTGATGGGTCTGGATGCAATACAAGGTGTTTATAAAGTCTCTATACATTTTTGAATATACGAGTATCTTTTAATTCGAGTTTCTTTGGAGGCGATCTGAAAGAATGCTATCAACAGAGGAAAGAACAGCCATTGTTTGTGCCCGTACACGTAGATAAACGTATTAACACGTGCAGGAGGAGTTCGCGCTCAAATTCAGGAAACAAGCCCCTACCAGAGCAGCTATTAAAAACCTTAATAAACAAACTCAAGCGAACTGGTAGTGTTAAAGATGAAGACCGTTCTGGAAGACCTTCGATAACGCCACAAAATGAGCAAAGCGTATAAGAAACGATTACACGTAGCCAGCAGGCATCCAGACGAAGACTCAGCCAGAGACTCGGTATTCGCATACTACGGTTTGGAAAACTCTACGCTGTCCTTTAAACAAGGATGCCTACCACATTAAAACTGTGCATAAGCTTGAAGCCGAGGACTATGCACCTTGGCAAGCCATGTGCTTTGATTTGTTGGAAGCTGTAGACAATGAGAACTTAATGAAGAATGTTTTCTTTAACGAAGAAGCCACATTCCATCTCAGCGGCCATGTTAGTAGGCTTAATTGCCGAATGAGGACTGATGAACAACCAAACATGTTATACGAATCTCAGAAAGACACACCTAAAGTTAATGTATGAATTGAAATAACTAAGCTCTGTGGACCTTTCATGTTTCCAGAAAGGACCATCACTGGAGAAATTTTTCTCGATATATTGCAACAATATCTTGAGCTACAGCTACTATCAGATGGCACTATCGACACTTGTCTACCGACAGGATGGGGTACCTTCCCATTTTTCCCATTATTGTGGGTGATTATCTTAATGAAACTTCTCCTGATAAGTGGATTAGTCTTGGCTAATCCACCTATCAGTCACCAGGCTCCACAGTCACCAAACTACTCCCTTAGACATTTTCGTATGGGGTTTTATCAAGTCCGAAGAGTATCGAGTAAAGACTGACAGCATTGAATAATTAAAACAGTGAATTATGGCTGAAATTACACCAATAACTTTACATAAGATGTTCCAGAGTGTAGTGGAATGGCGGCAATTGTGCCTAGACACTCAAAAGGGCTACATTGAATTGTACTAATTTAGTGTTGTATTATGTTGCATTTTCCTGTAAATAACTTATATTTCAGAATAAGGCCTGTTTAAACAAAACGTATAGAGACTTTATAAACACCCTATATTTTTTTTTAGGTTAAGGTGGTAAAAGTTTTCATTTAATAATACTGAAGTTGAGAATGGAATACCAGGAAAAATTAATTTAGGTATTGTAGTGTTATAATAGGAATAGATACTTAGCATCATTTTATTTGAGTTTCTAGACAAAGCGTTAAAGAAGTATCGGTATTTTTGAAGTAAGCCGGAATGATTGTGAAAATAATTTGTATTGTTAAACTATAATAGAATTTAGTACGTAAGCTCTATTAACTATTTAACTGATTGACTGGCTGGTCATTTGTTGTGAATGCTACTGGAAATTAAAAATGTCATAGTTATGTAAATACCAGGTACTGTTTTATGAATGTAATAAAGTGGTATGTATTTATTTAACTAATTATACACTTTTGGTATGTAATAAATTAAAAAGATTTTTTCTAATGAATGTTATTTAATTTATCGATGATATTGATTTAAATAATTATACACATTTCGTATGTAATGAAATAAAAGGGATTTTTTTCTAACGAATATTATCTAAATTACCGATGATTAATCAATAAAATTAACAGTTGTGGAAATACAAATAGTTTTAAGAATAGTATTTAAATCGCACATATAATTTTAGTTGCATAGCAGTCTTTTATAATATGAATTGTCAGAAAATTTATAAGGTATTTCTCCCGCTTTCTTAGCATGTCTTCGTCGTTAGTGGTCAGGACACTCGACGCGTATTCGAGAGGACCACGGTTCGAGTCCCGGCTAGGGCATTGCACATTTTTCATCTCTCCTGCTTCGAAATAACTTATGTCTCTACAGTGGCGTCCGAACTAAAAGGGTGGTGGATGATGATTCTCCACCACCAGAATATCCCCAGTGGCCCTTTAAAAGGCGAGTATGTAAGGTATTTCTTCCACCTTCTTTAGCAGACCTTCGTGGTGTAGTGGTCAGCACACTCGGCGCGTATTGGAAAAGTCCGTGGTTCGAGTCCCGGCGACGGCAATGCACATTTTTCATATCTCCTGCTTCAAAATAACCTAATGTCTTTACAAATTTATGTAGTAGTCATAACCTTAATTCTTCAATCGTTTCAACTTATCGATGATTGAATCGGCTTTAACCTTTGTTAGCCGTATTTGCTCGCATGAGTCGAGAGCCTGAGCCAAAACTTATAGATATAGTTTGTCATCTGAATATCATATTAAATTTGACTCTAAATCTTATATTTTGCAATCAAGCAAGCAGAGAACGTCTTATTTTATTACATGAGCTGTGAAAATTTGTTAGAATGAATAATTACTAAAAAAGTTTGTTTAAACTTACTCACGAGTTTGTGATACATTACTGGAAGGCAAACAGCGTATACATAATCTTATAAATTGTTTGCTGAAAGGTTTAGAACGGGACTATAAGTTGCCTGGCTGTCTTTATGGAGAGAGAATTTAAAATTTCAGATAGTCAAATTTCGGATGCTCAAATTGCCAAGATGAAAATTTGGAAGCATATTTAATCTCCTACAAATTATTTAAATAAATTAATTGAAAACTAAATACGATGCATTCAGTTACAAACCTTGGATATATCCCTGTATCTCTGAATAAAAGTGATCCGCATGTAAACCAGACGCTACCGCAAGGGGATAAATTATCAGTTCCTTTTGATTCGAGGGCTCGGACTCGATCCGGTGCACCAATGAAACGACTTATTCCATAGCCAGTTCCTGCAAACACTGCGACACCCAGTAAAATTATCATCCATAGTTCGACAGGCCATATAGTGAGGAAGGAAAATGGTCGGAAAGCTACCGCCTCTTCTTCTTGGGGTTTCTTCAGCAGAATGTTAAGTCCTAGCAGCATAAAACTTTTGCTGAAGTCAATTGCCGTCTCCCGTTCTTTAGTTTTTGTCAGAGGTGCCACAGCCAGGTCGGCTTCCTTTCGCCGGTTAGGAAGAAAAAAAGAAAATCATAAAATTTCCAAACAGAAGTGGTAAAAAAACCAAATGCATTTCAAAACTTATAAAAGAATTTAAAATTGCAAAGGAAGTTGAAAAGAATATTGTATAAAATAATAAAAAACATGAATTTATATAAAAAGATATAAAATAGCAAAGTAATTATTTAATTAATAAAAGTATAACTTATAGCAAAATATAATTATTGTGAGTTGATATTTACTATTGTAAGGTATATTTTAATTTTATAAACAGTTTAATTTTGAAACCCTTTCCTATCAATTCTTGTTTTTACTTACAACTTCCTACCGGAATGTGTTTTTAGAATTGCGTTGAATGCAAATGAGTTAGAAGAAGTATTTAAGGAAGGTTCAACTACGAGAGAGAGTGCTAGGAATCCTGAGTAGCGCGTGTTTGCCTTGGGGCTAAGTCTCTCTTAAAGCTGTTATGCTGGGCCGTAGTATACGTGCCTATTGATATTCGCCGGCTAGTTTAATTTAAGGGCCAACTATGTTAGATAATTGTATCTAGCTTCGGCTTATAGGGTTCCTCACTTTGTAAATGCTAAGTTATTGTTGAACGTGAAGAATCTTAAGAACAGTTAAGCGAATAATCGCTTGAGTTCGTGTGACAAGAAACAACAAGATGAAAGGGTAACTAACCCTTTATTATTCACATAAGATTTAACAGAACTCCGTCTCGGAGTGCACAATAAAAGCCGACACTTAGGCTTGAACTTAAGAGGCTAAGAAGTAAACTAAAACTAATCTAAACTAAAAAGAGATATAGCCGATCAAGATTCTAACCGAGTTGGCCCCTTAACGCTAATTGAATGCAAAGCTGTCAAGGGCCTGAGTACGGCCGAGCGTAATAATAGCTTTGAGAGAGAGTAGCCGAAAAGGCAGACGCGCGCAAATCAGAAACTCTGATTCTCTCTAACTCAGCAAGTAGAACTTCGCGGTTAAATACCGCTCTTCCTCATTATGTATTCAGAGGGATTCTAAAACTACGTTCTGGCCGGAAGTAGTTAAGTTGAAGTTAAGATTTTGACAAGAAAGGAACTTTAACCTAAAATTTAACTGTTAATAAAATTAACACAATCCTTACAGGCTGAGTCTCGTTTAGTTAATTATAGATAGTTTCTTATTTGTTAAACCCCGAGTAGAGGCTTCCTGTAAGCCCGAGAAGGGGCTGACTGTTATTCTTATTTGAGTGAATAAAAGGGTATTTTAACCCTTCTCAGCGATAAATAGCTACATAGTTCACTATGTTCCTCGACGTTCATCTTAAGCAAAAGGAATTAGGAACCCTACACTATAAGCATTTAGAAGGAAACTAGTAATATGGGAAAGAGAAATGAGCCTTAGTACTTCAAGTACTACGAGTTATTAGATTTATTTTAATTTCCTTATTAGTCCAAAGGGGCTTTGTCCCTGAGGGACTATCGTTTCCGTTTTGCCATTGTGCGTCGAATCATTCTAAATGTCCGTTTCACTTTTCAAACTGTTGCCACCAAATATTATCACCCTATATTATATTTGAGGAAATTAAATAATGGAGAATCTGCATATATCTATGTATGTTTCTCGCATCGTGATAAAACAACAGTACCTAGAACCATCTAATTTTGAATGACATAATCCTACTGCGAACATGGACATCTGGATGCCCAAATTTGAAATTTGGAAATATATATATTTTTTATCTTTAACGAATTTTTGATTAACAAACTCAAAGATTTCAAAATGACCAATGGCAACGTTGTACAGAAATAAACGTTTTTATCTTCAGCGCGCGAGACTGTATCGGAATTTCTAAAGATATGCTCAATTTAAAATTATTTTGCGATATTGCTCTTGAACTGAATTTTATGGTTTCAGTGCGAAGAACATATTTCATAAATAAAGTAACTCGCAAAATGTTTAAAAAAAAAAAAAAAAAAAAAAAAAAAGCCTCTTGGGACGTAATTTAAAATCTGAAACCTTTCAGATTTTCTTTTACTTCTTTGATTTTTAATTAATAAAATTTATATCCCATAGGAAAATAACAAAATATACTTATTTTAAGTTAACACTTACTATAAGCTTTTAGAGGGAAATTAGAAATATGTGAAAGAGAAACGTGCCTTATTATTTTAGGTAATATTGTTACATTTAATTCTAAGCTCCTTATAAGTTACCCTTGATTTCTTATTTAGTCCTGTCTCTTTTGATTTTGTAGCGAAACGATAGTAGATGTAACGTAGAAGAAGGAGTATTAAATTAATTAAAGCGTATAAAGGTTTAGGGGCTGATATAAATACAGTGCGTAGAATGTAACTAATAATTATGTGACTGAATCCCACTCTCGAAGCAAAATAGTTTTGAGAGAAGTCTTTGAGTGTTTAATGATAATTTCTGCATTTGGAAGTTATTATTCCATATTTGGATGTAATATAATTCCACGTACCTATATTCTGGTCTAATAGATTTGTTGTATTAGAATTTGTTTAGTTGTATCTTTGATTTGCAAAGCGCAGGTATTGTTAAACTCTGTGCAGTTTGGCAATTTATGATAATGAAGTTTTAATTTGTTATTCATTTTGCTCAACTTTAATTAGTTATTACGAGTCGATCTCACATACAGTTTCATATATCAAATTATGAATCTAATTTTTTACAGTCTCCCAGTCCCAGCGCATTTAGTAAAAGTTTATGTTCATTTTTAAAAATAAAACACAAAACGTTTGACTCCTGTACGAAAAAAATCATCGAGATATCTAATTTGAAAGTTTGGGATTTTATTTTAATTTTACAATCCAAAAAATAATTAAAAAAAAAAAATCTGAAATGTTTCAGATTTTAAATTACGTCCAAAGGGGCGTTTTTTAACATTTTGTGTGTTACCTTTCTTTATTAAATATCATGTTCCTCGCACTTAAACCATAAGATCCAGTGCAACAGCAATATCGCAAAATAGTTTTAAAACGCATATCTTTAGAATTTCCGATACAGAGACTCACGCGCTGGAGATAAAAATGTTTTTTCTGCACAACGTTGCCATTGCTCGCTTTGAAATCCTTGAGTTTGTTAATCAAAAATTCGTCAAAGTTTTAAAAAATAGGAAATCGATCATAAAACAAATTTCAAATTTCAAATTTGGTCTTCCACATGCTCATATTCGTTGGAGGATTACGTTATTCAAAATTCGATGACTCTATGTACCGTTGTTTTATCACAATACGAGAAATATACATACATTTATGCAGATTTTTCATTATTTAATTTCTTCAAATATAATGCAGGACTCTAACATTTTGTGGCAACAGTTTGAAAAGTGAACCGACATTTATGAGTCCGACGCAAAATGCCAAAACGAAACTAATAGTCCTTCGGGATTCAAATCCCTTTGGACTAATAATAATAATTTTTATCTTGAGGAATCGGTTACAAAATAAATTAATATATTCGGAGATTGATTTGTTTTTCCATTTAATATCATTCAGTGACATTCATTTGTAATTTACTAATATGTATAACATTGTTTGATTTATGATTTTTCACGTCTGGTATGCCGAAAGCATCGCCCTGTATTGTTTCAAAAGAAATTAAATAAAGGAGAATGTGCTTGAATGTATGTATGTTTATCGCAATGTGATAAAACAACGGTACTTAGAGCCATCAAAATTTGAATAACGTAATTTTCTATAGAATATGAGCAGGTGGAAGCCCTAATTTAAGTTTGAAATTTGTTTTATTATCGATTTCTTATTTTGTAACACTTCAACGAATTTTTGATTAACAAACTTAACGATTTCAAAGCGAGTAATGGCAACACTGTACGGGGAAAAAAAAAAAAAAAAAAAAAAAAAAAAAAAAAAAAAAAAAAAAAAAGCATTTTTTATCTCCAACGTGCGAGACTCTGGATCGGAAATTCTAAAGATATGCTCATTTCAAAAATATTCTGCGATATTGCTGTTGAACTCATTTTATGGTTTGAGTACGTAGAACATGATATTTAATAAATAAAGGTAACACACATAACCCCTGAAGGACTATTGTTTTTCGTTTTGCGACTTTGCGTTGAAAACTTTAAAAGGCTGTATCACTTTTCAAATCATTGCCACCAAATACTATCGCCCTGTATTATATTTCAAGAAATTAAATAATGAATAATCTGCATACATGTGTGTATGTTTCTCGCATTGTGATAAAACAACGGTACGTAGAGCCATCCAATTTTGAATGACGTAATCCTACTGCGAATATGGGCATCTGAAAGCCCAAATTTGAAATTTGGAATTTGTTTTATTATCGATTTCATATTTTGTAAAACTTCAATGAATTTTTGATTAACAAACTCAACGATTTCAAAGCGAGCATTGGCGACACTGAATTTTTTTTTTTTTTTTTTTTTTTTTTTTTTTTTTTTTATCTCCAGGGCGGAACTGTGTATCGGAAATTCTAAAGATATGCTCAATTTAAAATTATTTTGCGATATTGCTCTTGAACTGAATTTTATGGTTTAAATGCAAAGAACATGATATTTAATAAATAAAGGTAACACACAAAACGTTAAAAAAAGGCCCCTTTGGACGTAATTTAAAATCTGAAACCTTTCAGATTTCTTTTTCGCAAGGTGTACTTCTGTATTTTGAACTCTGCATATTAAATCAGACTAAACTACTCAGATATATGTATCAGGATGAAGCAGTGCATTCTAACCTATGAAGCGAGAATATAAAGGCCCCGTAAAGACACCAGCAGTACAGATACGCTGGACATTGATAAATATTTTGATCCAAAGCGGGTCACTGATATTGTATCAAGTGCTCAATTGAGAGATCGAAAATTCAGTTCATAGAATTAATTTCAAAGGGAAGTAGATCTTTGTTTGATTCGAATGTCTAGCACAGGACTAGCGCTAGACATTTTGCTGCCCTGTGCAAACTTTGAGACTCCAAAATTTTGCTGCCCGTTTCCATCCTAAAGTGTAAAAAACTTTGCCCGTTAAATCATGCGACCTAGTGTGGTCCCCTGGGATGCAACGGCTCTGCTGCCAGCTGTGTATCCTGCACGAAAAAATTGCTGCAATACTTACCCCTCTAACAAGTTCTCCTATCATTCCATTCCATCTTCCATCATACAGAACTCCATATGCTTCGTCCTTCACTAAATTAAGAACATAACTTCGTCCAATTACTTTCATGAGTTCTTCCAAAAGGTCTATGACATATCCTTCATACTTCCCATCCGCATGAATTTTTAGAAAAGGTTCTACCTGTTGGAAAAAGCAAAATTTAAAACGGCAGTAAAACCAAATACAGTTTAAAACGAAACCAGATGTTCAACCAGAAACGAAACCTATTTAGCCAGATGTAAAAGAATAAAAATGCACTTTTCTTATGAAAACAGAAACGAATACGTTTTAGAAAAATAAAAGGAACTATGCTAAACTTTTTTAATGTTGTAATAGGCACTGATCTTATGTCAATGACAGAAAGTTTTGAGAAGTTAAGTCATTATTTTGATGTGTTTAGTGTTATTTGTGACATTCAAAACTTGTCAAAACGTAAGGAATATCTGAACAGTAGTTGTAAGCAGATTGTAGATGCTTCGAAGTGAACGAAAATAAAACTCAGAAGATATAAATACCTTGGATCTAGAAGTGCTATCCTTTTTGTTATCACAGACTAATCAATAATTAGAAAATACGCTATGAGATTGTTATTAAAAAAACACTTCATTTTATTGTTATACTCATTATATTACTACTTCCGCGAAATCAAATCTAATATTTTGCTCCTTGATTTTTTTATCTTGATTTCTCGAGATAAAGTCTAAAAAAGGATAAATTTTCTCTCGATCTTTCTTTCACTTTAATTATTCAGAGTGAGGTTACATGTGTATGCGAAATGATGTACGTCAGGAGTGGGATACAGTTTACAAGAAAAAGCTGATAGTGGTACTCACTAAAATACTTGTCACTCGCAGAGGTGGTGAGTCCCGGTAAGCTGCAGAGGAAGGTCTTATAGGCGAACCAGAATCTTGGGTTAATTGCAATTTTGAGCTCTCAGACCACGTTCCTATCTGTAACATATAAATTTATTAAGAAAATTATCTTATGCGTTCCGAACATGGAAAATTTTATTCTGTGAATGAGTCTTATGTTTACAAAGTCTGCTTTAAACGTTTTTCGGCTCTCTTAAATTACGTAATCAAAAAGATAAACTCTTACAGCACATTAATCAAAAGCATTAAAATGCATTTACAACTTGAATACATTTTGACTTAAGGAAAAAATACTACATGGACTTCACAAATGCTGTGTAAACTCTCTAAGGCTGGAAATAGAGACATACTACCTCTTTTATACTTAACTTCGAAATAAATGTTATTATTCTTTTAAAATTAAGCAAAATTTAATCTCAGATAGACATTACCACTATAGAAAAACTCTCTACGCGTTTTGAGCGATGTTGATATAAATCCCTTTTCTGCAAGGAACTTACGTATGTCCACTTTCGGTTAAATCACCACAGTTATTATGTGGATGAAATGTATTTTTAGTTACTATTCGTATGAAAATTGCTTAATATGGAAAAAATATAATGGACGTTATTGAAGCCAAATAATAAAATTACGTATTTCTAAAAATGAGACGCTAAAACGGCTTTCTTATGAAAGTGATATATCTCAGTATTAAAAGTATAATTTGTTCTGTTTTTTAAGTATATTTTACTAGGTATATTCAACCATTATGCCTAGCAAAATATACTTAAGAAAACCTAGCAAAATATTTTTACTTCTAAAAGAAGTTTGATTCATTTCAGTCTCCCTCGACATTTTTTAATAATTCTTAAAACTTCGTTTGGTGTATGGTGTTTACATTATTTGAATTTGAGCTTAACATATTATACTTAAAGAAACAGAACAAATTATGCTTTTAAATTTAATACTGAGATACTATATCACTTTCATAATAAAGCTGTTTTAGCATCTCATTTCAAGAAATACGTAATTTTATTATCTGGCTTAAATAATATCTATTACATTATTTCCAGATGAAACAATTTTCATACGAATAGTAACTAAAAACACTAAAATAACTGTGGTGACTAAAATAGTAATAGTAACTAGACAGAATAGTAACTAAAAATATCAAAATAACTAAAATAACATCCGCATAATTAACTGTGGTGATTTAACCGTAAGTGGACATATGGAAGACACTTTTATCATTTACGTTAACAGTCACAGAACAGTTCATATTAAGATAAAATTAGTTTGGGGAAGCTAGTTTCAAAAACTATTTTTGGAAATTTTTGTAAGATCTCTTACTATTAAAGGGAAAATATCTGATGTGCAGAAAAGAGGAATAATAATTACCATAGGGTCGCATTCTCCTGTGAGAGGCAGAAAAGAGAAATATTATAATTCCAACCTGAACTTACGTAAACAGTGTTGGGAAAGCGAATGAAGAGACCAAAAGTTGCACAATCAGATTTATTGTTACTCACAGAAAGTGTTCAAAGTGCCGACCACGCGGGTCGTTGCACAGTTGACATCGGCGAAGGAACGACTGGCACACTCTCGAAGAAGATTCCTAGTGTCGAGTTAATTTTGTCCGCGACACTCACGACGGTCTAAACCCAAGCCTCTCCGGATTGGAAACGGAACAGCCTGCAATAAATTGGAAAGCACTTGTTTGAAGAAGATACGGTATGTTGCGCCTGTTAAACGGTCTGGCATGATATAAGAGCCTACCAGGTAATCATCCAGGTTACTTTCCCACAAGTTCACGGAAAATTTCTGCGGGTGCAAAAAATAAGGGGCAGTGCAGTGAGGAGTGCTATCAGACCAAACGTGTTTATTGTGCACGTTGAAAATGCCTTCTCTGCTGAATGTTGCCTCGTCACTAAATAACAATAATATTAATGCAGAAAATCGTGGATCATTATTCCTCATTTCAAGCATCCACTGCACAAAGTCTGCCCGGCAGGGATAATCATCTGTGTCCAAAGATTGCACTTTTTGCACGTGGTCGGAGTGCATGCACTCCTCATATAAAATACGCCACACCACTGGCTGAGAAATAATTATTTCGTATGCCATTGTTTGCGTACTTGTGGAAGGAGCTACTTCAAATCTAGTCAAAACTCGCTCTTCCATTTCTCGCATTCGTGCATTTCGCGAACGTCCTGCATTGGTTTTTGAAGATGGCAAAAGAGCGTGTTTCTTGCAGTCTTCGATGAACAGTGGAAAAGGTTGGATCACTTGGAATCCGAAGAGTTGCAAATCGCTGTTCGTACAAGCTTTTCGTGCTTCGCGTGCATTTCCTTTTGCTTCACCGTATGTGAGGTGAGTATCTGCACAATTCTTCGTACGTGTACTCCGCCATAGCATTTACGAAAAGTTTCGGATGAAGTTATAAGGTAATGCTTAAAGGGATAATGTTGTGCTGTTTTCAAGGACACCGTTTGCTCTGATTGGCTTTCTCGGGCACCAACTAAGAGCAAAACTCTGCTTCTTCTCAGGGCAAATTTGGATACGGTTAATTCTTGATAGTTTTATAAGTAATATAATAGTATAGTAGACAATAGACTTAATAGTAGACAATTCTTGATAGTCTTATAATTCTTGATTCTTGTTCTTCCTCGACGCGTTTCAACTTTCCTCTTTTCTGCCTCCCAGAGTGGAATGAGACCTTACGTTCTATGGTCATTTTTGCTCGTCTGAATGGGTACTATCACCCTCTTAATTTGTAAAAACAGTTTAGAATCACCCTATACATAGAATTTCAACGTTCTACGAGTACTCGTTTTTGAGTTATGCGTAAAAGATGTCATGGAAAAAAATCTCTTCTGAATCCATTTCGATTCAACGACTCAAATTATGTCTAGATATTAAATTTCGTAATTTTTGGTGAGAAATTTAAAAATTTATCTTGGCGAATTTTTTAATAATTCACTTGGCGAACTTCTTAATATATGGCAACCTATTTTCCTTTCCCTTCCATTGATCAGAAACGGGAAAAAAGTCACTCCGTTCCTACCCTTTTGTACTGTTGCAGGAGCAGAAAAAAGTCACATCGTTCCTACTTTCAAATAACTTTAACAAAGTGCGTAAACCCCATTTTCGTTATTATCGCTTTCAACAAATATGCCAAATTTCAAAACTCGCCAATCTTCGAAAATTTTGAATAAAAAGCTTTAACTTTTTGCAGGCATACTTAGAAATACATCTACTTTAAGAAGATGGTAAAACTTTTGTAGGTTACAATTCTAAATGTTTTTCCAAAAATTTATAAAAATTATTTAAAAAATAAATCATAAAAAATGAGTGAATTTTATTTGGAATGAAACTAAATTTACAACTGTTAAAGAATGAATCAAGTAAATGTAATAAAAAATAACTATTAATAAATACATACCAAATTTGAATTAACATTGAGGACCTAAAATTTTGAAAGCTAATTTTTTTAAAAACCACTCTTGCGATTTTTACAAAACTTGGCAGTTTGCCATAATTTGAGTCATATAATTGAAATATGGAAAAAAAATTGGCATGTCTTTTCAGGAAAAGTCCGATTTTGTGTCAAAATACCTATATTAGAACAATGTTACATATCTAATGCATATCCTAAGTCGCGCTTTCGAGACATGGGGAACATAATTTGAATTTCGTCAATTCGCCAAGTAGAACAAGAGATATAGAACTGTCCCCTCCTTTTTTTTTCCCGCAGTGTACGTTCTTAAACATTGTGAAAAATTAAACTCCCTTTAATGAAACTATTTTCACTGTCTTTTATTTCACAGAAGTTAAAGGAAGTGCTTTATTATTTGTACTGAGTTAAATCATAAATTTTAGGAACTATATAGATGAAATTTCAGAACAATTTATTTATTAAATTTCATTTAATTCTAAGCTCGTTTAGAAATATACTATTTTGAAGGCATTTTCGAAATTATTCTGAAATACCAAGCTACAAATAATAAATTAATCTCAAAATACTGGCCTAATAAATTGTGAAATTGTTTATAAAAATTATCCTCTTTTCTGTGCACATATTTTATTACTTTTATTTGTATATTTAGAATTGATTCCGTGGCTTTTTGTAGAATTACGGTATGAAAATAAACGCAATTACCTTTTTTAAACCTTCAAAAGATGGCATAACTTCCAAAATATTCAACACATAATCAGATCTCTGACCATCTGCACGAAATTTAATTTTTCCAGTTGCTGCATGCTGTACTGTTACCTAAAAATAAGAAAACATTTTATTTATTAATTTACTGAACAAATTACATAAATAAACTTTTTAGGAAGAATGAACTTTGAACATATAAAATCTTTAATAAAATAAGATTTCGTTGAAAAGTAGTTGCAGTCTCGATAAAAAATTTAAACTATTGTTGTAGAAACATTAGGAATTTTGGAAGCAGGAAAGATGAAAAATATGCACTGCCTTCGCTGAGCTTGCAGACCACTACACCAAGAAGGCTCGTTAAGAAGGCTGGAGAAATACCTTATATACTCCACCTTTTAAAGGGCGACTGGGGTTTTGGGGGAACCCAATCGCCAAATCATGGGTGAGGAGAATCATCATCTAACACCCTTTTAGTTCGTGTGCCACTGTAGAAACATTAGGTATTGTTGCGTTATTTTCTTCCTTCACGTTCATACGGGGTTTGTAGATTTGGAGTGAATAACGACGACACTTGATGAAGTATCGAAACTTTATTTAGCCAATATTAATCAGGAGAGCTCCAATAACACATTTTACAGTCGTCGAAAATCTATTATAAACACGCTGGAGCAATCAACGACACAGCCTTCACACTGTCAGGGAATAAGGGTGGAGACAGCTTCACTGCAAAGCACCCGAGTACAGCTCCCAACTCTGTTTGGTCGTTCTCGGAACTCCACGTACTCTCGAGACTCTCTACGCGATGCATTCGACGATACACAAGAGTATAGATCTCGACTCAGCACAGTCTAAGACAAAACTCGACGATGTACTCATTCGCGATGCACTAAGAGACTCTCTCGATGCACTCGGCGCTAGACTTCGAGACACTCGCTCAATGACTGACTATCAGCTTGCTAGACGAAGCACACACTAACTGACTGCGGAACCAGCAGGGTTTATATAGCTTTTGGCTTGTGTTCGAGAACATTCTAAGGTAAGAATATTCTAAGGTAAGAAAATTCTACGGTAAGAATTCGTTACAGAAGGTTCTCCATCCGTCCATGGTACATCGCCAATTTTATCGCCAAGTGTCGCCAAGTGGGCGATTTCTCGCCAAATGTGGCAACCATGTCTTCCCTTGCCATTTTATGGCAACGCTAAAATTGTTTCGCGGGGAAGCCATCTTACCGCGCCTGTACATTTCGTAATAGTATTTTGGAAGCAGGAAAGATCAATATGCAACGCCTTCGCCAGGAATCGAACCGCTGACTCTCAATTACGCGCTGAGCGTGCAGACCCTTACACCGCGAAGGCTCGCTAAGAAGGCGGGAGAAATACCTACGATTATTAATCCCATGTTAAAGATGGTAGATCCGCAAATTTGCTTTAAAGAATACGTGCCAAGAATACGTTCTCTCATAATGCGGCTTGTAAACAAATGATTAAGTTTGTACGTCATAAATTTACGTTTTAAAAATTGTGTACCTATATATTTAACTTTATAAATTCGCATGTTAAAAACGTTTTTTGTAGGAATGAGTCAATAAACACATCTAACGTTTTAAATTAGAGCTTTAAAAATGTACACAAATATATGCTACTTAAAAACTTTACGTCTGAAATTATCCGATTATAGTTTATTTAAATTTAACATGCGCATGAAAAGCTTAATGTTTCGGTATGGGATCATATAAAGTATTCTAGACTGCAAGAACAAAAAATGGAGTTTTGTAGCACTAAACCATCTTTATGTTAGTTGGCAAATGAAATGGAAATTATAGTAAATATGTATATAGAAACAAAGGAAAAGTTAAAATGAAAGAAATGGAGATTTTTGTTATGTAACATTTTAAAAATTCATTAAAAATAAAGTATGCAGTTAGTACTAAATTGAATTGTATTGATGCAAACTTATTAATTTTTTATATCGTATTTTATAAAAGCTCGCTTTGTCAACCTTTGCTGGTGAGGCAAACACTATTCGTCTTTGGTAAACTATAACTGAGCAACTGAATGAAAACACTAATGATTAAATTTAGAAGACAGATATCCGACTTGCTATCACAAACCCATTACTAAAACTATTTACAGAAGTACTGGATCCAAAATTGGCCACTAAGGTGAATAGCACGCACAAGACAATGGAATGACGTGCTAATGCAGTGGCCACAACAGTCTTCGGATTTAATCCCATGTCTCTATTTTTTGTGGGCGTTTATTTAGGATATTGTGTTTGTGCTTCCACTTCCTCCTAATTTCTAGGATGGCAAGCTAAATGACAGGCATATATAAAATGCTGCTCTGTGTATAAGTGAACCGCACATGTTTTTCAATAAACACTATACACTATTTTGTATTTCTCAGCGTGGCCTTCACTTATCAGGCACACTATGCACAAGTGAATTGTAAGCGAACTGTAAATAAGCAGTACAAGTGACTACTATGAATGTAACAAGCAAATATTACACAGGAACTCTGCAAATATGTGAACAGCACTACATGTGATGTACATTAATATACCCAGTTGATATTGTTCAGTATAACGCATTAGAATAACTTCTTATATTCAAGTTATGACTGACTTCTAGAGTAAACATTCTCTGTAAACTCAAAATCACAATGAATAAAACATTGCTAAAATCCTCATTCAGCACAGTCAAAGTCTTCACAGAGTCTCTTTTATAACCACAGGTCACAAATACTCATCTTCTGAAGTAACTTTATAAATTCCGCTGCAAATTTTAATATTCTATAGAAATTTTTGGCTAAGCCTAGCGACAATAGAATGCTCCACCAACTGAGTACAAATGCTGAAGTCATATAACAGGCGGAACAGCAACACAAAGTAAGTAATTTCTAGGATATACAAATATTACAATTGATGTTTTTTTTTTATAACCAATGAGAATTTTATACCAGTGTGACACACACTACATAGTGTAAATGATTGTAATCAGTTTTTCATTAAATGCTGGCGCACACAACGAACCAAACGATTTATCACATAGTAGATGTCTACTGTCACCGCATTAGTAAATGTTTTCACATTGAGCATTTCTGAAATATGCTTGCATTCAACGGCAAGAATGCGTAGCCGCTATTAACAGCTGGTAGAAACTACGTAGGTAAGTTAAAAAATAAGTTTCCTCTGTCGATTTGATTATGGCAAAGCACTCTAGGGCTATCTGCCTAGAAGGAGGGATGCCTTTTTGAAGGACTTTCTAAGTGAAACTGGTTCGTATACACGTTACATATGGGAAAAATCGCTAAAACGCCCAAGCAGCCAGCCCGTTCGCGGAATTCGAACCTCGGACCCAACTATCAGTGTTTAGAGACTTAACCACTAGGCTCCTGGTGGGCCTAGTTTGGAAAAGGAATATATAGATTGATTGGACACATCTTTTTGAAAAGGATTTGTTTTGTAATTTGCATATATATAACAGCAAACTTTGCAATTTAGATAGTTTGGATTTACGATTTGACGATTATTGATGTTAGAACAAGGATTTCCAACCTTTTGCTTGCGTTTCCTTCATGGATCCCCCCTTACACTTTTCTTTATAAAATACAATATACAACATAATCATAGCACAAATAATTGCGTGTAAGTAAATTATATTTAGTGTACGGACAAAAATTTTGAAAAATGGTTTTTAAGATTTATGTTTAATTATTTTTTGTATTATTATTATTTTTTTTGTTTTGCAGCACGAAGATTTTAATTGCACGAAAGTTCGATTTTTAATGTGATAGTTGCACTTGATGCATTGATTTAATATTTTTTTAATATTTGGCATAAATTTGCTTAATTTAATTTTTAAATCACCTCGTTAAATTACTTAAGTCCTGTTTTCTTATTTTCTATTCTAGTTTTGCGTTCTTTGTATTCTTCTTTTATCACGTCTTCTTGTATTTTTGCACTTTACTTTTTTATATCGCAGTTATTGTTTAAAAAATTGATATATTTAAACAAAAATTTTCCTTCATATTTATTTTACATGATTTCTTGCCGAATACAGCTACATATTTCTTACTAATACAGCTTTGTATCGATAAATAATGAATTAGTAATTTTATTAACTTTTTTTAATCCATGGTATCTTTATTATGCTGATCAACTGCTTGTGCGTATCAAGTCCCTTGATACGCACAAGCAGCCCCTTTTAAACTTGCATATTCCTATAAGGATCAATACTGGCCCCGTTGGGACCACTTCTTTAGAGGAAGAAAATGAAAAAAATAGTGCAGTTCAACACTATTTCTGAAACCGTATTTTGAACTACAGGACAAACATTTAATTAATTCAGGATTCAGTTTAAAACTAATACCCACACAGGTGACAGGTTGCGGAAGACGGGGACGCCTGGTGTTTAACAGTGGTAAACAGGCATATGTCCCACGCCTTCACCTGTGTAGAAGCAGCAACTTTATTTAAATTAATAAAAGTATTTACAGTGCAACAAGAGCAGATGAGTGATTGTATTACATTGCAGTTCAGGTTACATTAGCATGTCATAAATAGTCAAGTGCAAGACATAAAGAGAAAGGGTCATAAATTAAAAAAAAAAAAAAAAAAAAAAAAAAGAAAAGAAAAGAAAAAGAAAACAACACATTAATCACATAAACATAAGGCGTAATTAGATGCCAATACTCTTCACTCAATACATAAACTTAAGCATATTGCCAAATGCGTGATTAGTGTTGTATATTGGGAATACTGAGGTATCTAGAGAATTCTATACTTACTACAGGGTGTACAGACAGTGAACAAAAGCTTAGTAAAAACATGATACTTGATAAAATACAGGACAAAATACATGCAATGCATTGATACAATACATGAGACACGGAATACATTGATAAAATACAAGAGACATGAAATACATTGATAAAATACATGAAACATGATGCAACTTTAGAAATAGTACACAACACTAAAAATGTGATATACAGAGCGGAATACGTATACAAAGGTATTAACAGAATACAAAACAGAAGATAGAGCATTAAAGATTTAAGTACAATGGATATATACACAGAATACCCACACAGGTCACCAACGTTATTTTACATTAAAATACTGATACCCAGCTAGTTTAGTGAAGTATTAGTTCTTTCAGCGCAGGCTTACCATTGGCTGAGTAGATAAGACAATTAATTGAAAGCTAATTTTTTAGGATTCGACAAGAGCTCGAATCCCCGCAAACGGACTGATTGAATAGATGTTTTCGTGGTTCTCCTCTAAGCGCAATGCAATTACAAACCAGTTTTCCTCAGAAAGGTCCTTTGCTAAGGTTTGCTTCTACTTAATATAGTATAGTCCTCGCAAGTTTGGCTTGGTATGTTCGATTATAACAATAATGCTTCAGTGTTTCTATTTCTGTTTCAAGAACTGTGTAGTATATAAGGGTGCATTTCTCGAATGATATTTTTATCACATACTTTATCCCGCGATATTTCCAAATGATTTACAGAAAACTGTTCATTATTTCATGCTAATTCAAATGAATCTAAAAGGCTTATAAGGTATTTCTCTCGCCTTTCTAGCGTACCTTCGTGGTGTAGTGGTTCTGCACGCTGGACCGTTATTCCAGAGGTCCGTAGTTCGATTACCGGCGAATGCGTTTGCATATTGTCTGCTTCCTATAAATCCTAATGTCTCTACCAGCTACATATTTGTGAATGCAAATGAACAATGAATAAAACATTTTCCTATTTCTGTTAACCATTTATTCCCCAAAAAATTAGCAAAAATTATTTTCCAAACGCAAATTTACAATTTTCGAAAAATTAAATTAGAAATTGAAAATCTTTATGATAAAAAATAGATACAATAATAATAATAAGAAGAAAATAATTTTAAGAAAAATAAAATTCTTACTTCTTTAATGAAAGACGCAGTTTCAAGAATTTTGCCTTCTATTTTCATGCAGTCGGTCTCTTGTCCTTTATGCGGCATGAGACTGTCAGGTTTTTCTTTTGCTATGCGATCAAAGGTGTTATAGAGAACGATGCTTGTATCATAACTTATAATTGCAGTATCCTGTATAGAGGTATAAAACGCAAAAATTAGTTTCTCAAAAGAAATTCCTAATTTTTATGCGCAAAGAAATAGAAACATATAATGTCAATAGAGATATATAAGACATCTCTAACGAAACGTAGAATACAGAACGATACTTCCGTCCTTAATTCTATTTCATCTTGATCTAACTTGCTGAATAAGGTTTTTGCTAATTTATTAATGCAACAAAAACTCCGATTTCCTTTCGAAGAAGTTTAAGATTGTAGATAGCGTTCCCGCTAATCTTTTTAAACTTTAGGTCAAAACGACAAAAGCGAAAGCATACAGTTCTTTGTGTGGCATGAAAGTATAAAAAAGAAAAATATACTAACTGGTAGTTCTTTATCTCTCGGTTCTTGCCTGCCATAAGGCATGAGAGTTTTCCATCGGTTTGCAATAAGTTTAACAGCGGGATTCATGGGATCCACAACAGAAAACTTGGTTAGCTTACATGAACCAACATTTGGACTTTGGCCTGTTAAAGCGACCTATAAAAATAATGAATAATAATCTATTATAGTGATAGACTACATTTGCAGAATGATGAATAAACTTTCAGTTCTCTTGTTCATGGTTAACCAAAAATAAAAAAGAGCAAACAGACAATAATATTATAAACATCAGCGTAATAAATGAGTACTTAAAGCGCAGCGCGACTCTGTAAATATAAATAGCTGAAACTTCTATGCAAGTAAGTGAATAAAACACTGATTCTATAGGGGGTGAGAAACTTCACAATGTGCTTCATACGGTGTCCGCCGATAACATCGCGGACGAAAACGTCTCGGAGAAAACAATGCAAGGCGAAAACGTCGTGCTACAAAACATCGTGGTACAAAACATCGTCGTCGAAAATAAAGCGGTTCAAAAACTTCGCAGCTTAAAAGCATCGCCGTCGAAAATATCGCGGTAAAAAATAAAGTATCTACAAATCATCGCATGACGATAACATCGCAGACAGCTTTTTTTCAGGTTTTAATAATTGTAAATGATTATTCCCATAACGATTTGTGAGCGCAAGATGTAAAGAAGGATAATTTTTACTTTCACATTTTTTTATTAACTAATAATTTTTTGCTGAAAAAGTAAGAAGGAAACTTAAGCATAGAAAATTCAATGCAACTTATAGATTACACTTTCCATGAAAAATTACCAGTAAAAACTTTATAAAAAATGATTTATTAATGGCCTTTGTTAGTTAACTATGTCGGTTTAAAATTAAGTGATATAAGTTGCATTAATTTTCAATGCTTAAGTTTTCTTCTTATTTTCTCAGCAAAAATTTATTAGCTAATAAAAAATATGAAAATAAAAATTATCCTTCTTTCCATCTTGCGCTCACGAATCATTATGGGAATATCTATTTACAATTATTAAAACCTGAAAAAATCATGTCTGCGATGTTATCGTCATGCGATGATTTGTAGATACTTTATTTTTTACCACGATATTTTCGACGACGATGTTTTTAAACTGCGAAGTTTTTGAACCGCTTTATTTTCGACGACGATGTTTTAGAACTGCGTTGTTTTCTCTTTGCGACGTTTTGTAGCACGACGTTTTCGCCTTGCGTTGTTTCTTCGGGAGGTTTTCGTCCGCGATGTTTTCGGCTGTAACCGCTTCATACATATAGACAGTACTTCGCTGTTATTAAGTTTTCTATAAGTTTTTAGATTGCTAGCTTCGTTTAACGAATAAAATTTTGTCACATTATAATTAAAAATCTCTCTCTCTTATTTTGAAGGTCCAGTGCGGCAAGTTATATATATATATGAATCTTTTGTTTGTTTGTTTGTCTTTAATACAAATCTACAGTTTAATTCTGATCTTTCTGAAACTTGCCACACTGGACCTTCAAAATAAGAGGAATGTAACTGTTTACATAAGATTTCTCAAAAACCAGCCCATGGGCTCACACTTTTTATATACATATATTTTACGCTAATTTAACGAACTTCTGATTAAAAGCTCGGCTATTTAAATCTTTGCGTTATCCACTCTGCTAAGCATAAGATATATATATTTCAAATCAGAAAACTCAGCGATATAACAAATTTTTTTGACACTTGGAAAAACGCAATTATATTAATTTATAGGATCTTACTCTCTTTGGCCACATAAACTCTACTAGATCCTACTAAGTAACCTGGCGACTCGCACAGGCGTGAAATAATACCAACACAGAAGAAGAGTGAAAATAACCCTTTATTATTCTCAACTATGAACAGAAAGGCACGTACTTCGTACTTTACAATAACACCGACAACGTCCGGTGAAACGTAAGAAACGTAACACAATAAATTCAAGTCTAAAGAGTAGTGCTGGACAAGCACTTTAAGTTAAGGCTAACTAGGTTGACTCGACAGCCTACCCGACGTGATAATTATCTAAATGGCCAAAAGGCGTATCAGTAACTCCGCATAACAACGAGGTCAAGATCGTGACTTACACTGGCTAGCGAAAACACGCTCCAAGATTCACCCGTTTAAATACTAACTTCACTTAACTATAAATTTACATCTTGGCGAGGAAATGCGGGGGGAGGGGAAGTTGAGGAGTTTGACAAAGATAACAAAAACTTGAATAATACGTTCGTTGAACTGAAGGAAACTCTACTAATTTTACTTACTAAACAAACTAGGCTATTTCAGAGAGATGTATTCCCACTGCCCAAATTAATATATTTAAAAATAAAATTAAGTGTGTTGTCGTTCAGCAAAACGTAAAATAATTGAATTTTCATGCATTAACATGCGCGTTATTGCATCACACACATTTTCTTTGTTTTTTGAACGTGAATTTATAATAGTAGGCAAAAAGCATTACTTTCGTTGTAAAATCAATCATGTCATCCAAACGAAAATTGATTGCTCGATCTACATCTCAAGCACGAGAGAAAAAAGACACCACGAACTTCATAAACAAACGAGCAACAGGAAGCAGGACTGGAAAACGTTCGATTACGCACTGCTCAAGCTCATTTGTCTGAAACAGACGAGCAACGAGAAGCAAGACTGGAAAACGTTCGAGTACGCACTGTTCGATCCGAGCGAACACTGGACGCTGATTTAAATCTTAGTGGATTCCATTACGATGCTAATTATGATTACAGTCTTTGTCCAAGTGTTGTCGTTGAAAAGATGGATAAATTATGCATGCATTGCAGAGCCCTCAAAGAAGCACCAGGAATGTGCTGTATGAATGGAAAAGTGAAATCGCCCGAACTATTTTTAACCTTGGTATCAGGTGACACAAGTCAATCGAAATATGCAAAATATGTGTAATGAAAAAAATTTCATTAACAGAATTAAAAGACAAACACTGCCTTTTAAGTAGCATTGCAACGCATGTCGGGTTACAGCTAGTTAAAGAAGAACGATTAGAAGAATTGAAGCTAGAAAAAATTGAGATTATAATCTAGCTCGTGGTTTCTTCATTTAGGTTATAACGTTGCGCGCCTCTAACTAGCACGCAACCTAGAGGTGACTGTGAAAGCTTGTATAAACCACAGAGTCTTATAAAGGGTTTAAGTCCCTTTTTATTCAACGTAATAAATTACAATGGCGTCCTCTTGACGCTTACAGACTGTGCCCACTAGGCAGTCAAATAAAAATATAACCTGAAAAGAAAGTAAAGACAAGCTTCTAACTACGAGGCTCTCTAAATAACTACTCACCGCGTTTTACAAATGCCCGCAGCTAATTCAGCAGACTTGAAGCTCACTGGAACAATTGCAACTACTTCCCGCCAAGCACATAGGCCGCAACGCGGAGTTCTTCAATTCTCGATAACTACCTCCGCGCTCGCTAAGTAAGAATAACTCTCTCACCGAACTCGTTTCCTTCTATTTAAATCATACTACTTCCGCTGATAATTTGAATGCTTGCGCGTTCTACTCAAATTTACATATTCTGGCATTGGCAGTTCCAGGGGAAAGTAAGGATTGACAGGAAAGATAGTTTAAACTTAAAATAAATGTTAGTTAAAATAAATATAAACCCTACATTTGCCGCTTCCTACAAACGACCTGTTGTAAGTTTATCTAATTCTGAACTAACTGGCGAAAGCCTCGTTTCACAAAAAAAAATCTTATGTAACAATTATATATTAAAAATTCTGTTATTCGTTACAAGCTTTCTTCTTACAGCAACTTTTCCTGACTTCATCAATCAATCTTGGTCTTTCCTTCCAGCATCTGGAAGGAATAAGTATCAGTATCTTTCTACATACATTATAATTTACACTTTCTTGACACAATAAATTTTTGTTTTTAACGATTCGTTTTCTTAGTTATTGCTTACTTCATTCATTCAATTTTTTCAAGCATTAATTTAACTTTACCCTGGCTCTCCACCTGTGTGGTGTCAAACGGGAATATTCGTGTTTTAGTCTTACAACACTTCCCCTAACCACCATGATTTGTTTAGAATTCAACGACCAAATAGCACACCTTACTCGACATTCTACAACTCAATGAGCTACTTTAATATTCTTAAAAATTCAAATGTAGGGGGAGAACCCTACAAAACACATTCATTCTAACTTCCCCCTCATTCATCTTTAAACATGCAGGCTTTCGCTCTAAAGCATGACTTTACAGTTTAATACTTAAATTTTGACTTCATTGCTTTTAAGCATTCACTTTTAGCATCTACAATTTTATGCTTCTAGACTAAATTCTACTTTTACATAACATGAAGTATTTACATACATTTACAAAAGTTTAATACATATGCTTTTTACAATTTACCATAAAATGAATAAGAGAAATAAATTTTTACTTTACTCATTCTTCGCCAAGCTGGCGGTACTGAAACTAAAATTCTTATTAGTACAAGAATACGAAGTATTTTTATCTCCGGCCAAATTTTGGCTTTAACATAACAGAATTAGTCTTTCGACCAACAGAAATGCTTGTTTTTTTTTATTTTACACTTAAAGAAAATAATACTTTTGCCTTAGCTAAATAAAGTAAACAAAACTAAGTCTCAACCGAGACATATTGACTTTCGTCAAAACATAGAACTTCGTACTTATGCATAACATTTCGGAACAAAAGAAAAAAAAATTTATAGAAGGTTTTAACTTATCTTTGAGTTTTCGATGCTTGAAACTCCGTCATCCGTTTTTGACAAAATTGATCCCAAGTTAGAGGTGTCATGGACGTCAATCTTCTCCTTATTGATCTCCGAGTGTCGTCCACGTTGCTCTTTCTTTTGCGTCCTCTACATGCTGGCCTCTTGGCGGAGTAGTCGTCTGGTTGTTGGCCTTTGCGTTTCTGCCTGGGACGGCTGGTCTTGACGTCCTCCGGTCTGGAGTCCTTCTGAATTTCTTCTGTTCCTCGTACTTCTGTGCCTCCTGTTGTCGTTTTCAGTTCCGGAACGGCGGCCTTGCTGGCACCTGACTCTGTGGCCGTGTGCGCGTTCTCCTTGATGTGTAATTTCTCCTGCTGCATCTTTGTAGGTGGTGTTTTCGTCTTTACTACGGT